TGAATCAACAAAATAAACGATCCCAAAGTGTTGAAATTTAAAAGGTGGGTTTAGATGATAGTCTCCATCAAGTTATTCGAAGATTTACGTATTTTCAATGACTAAATAACACTGAATGCCTTCTGCCAAACAAAAAAATGATACTCTAAGCTCTTTTATATATATATATATAAGCATTATATATGAATAATGCTAAGGATACTAGCTTAAATTATAATTGATGTGTACCATCATTCTTTTATCCTTTTATTGTAGATGCAATCTCTTATTATTAATTGACGTAACAATGTTTTAAATATATACTAATGTAAAAATGACATTTCACATGTCACATTAATTAGTACATAAGAATTGAAATTAGACTTGGTGTTACTAGCATTATTCTAGTCTTATTAATCCAAAGAAAATAGGAAATTCAACTAGAGCTCGGCTAAAATCTCCATCAATTCATCAATTAAGTTTTTCTTGTTAACTGAGATTGCATAAATTATAAGAGTATATGATTTATTTATCTTAATTAAAAATTTTGGAACAAGAAAAATTAATTGATGAAATTAAATTCTAGCCGTCAAGTGATAATACATAAATATATATTTCAAAAATTGCAAAAAGTAAACTACTAAACGAGTAATATATATTTTAGAAATACTCATTATTCGTGAAAAATGGAAAATCAACTTCATAAGCTGAGAATATATATATATATATATATATATATTTCTTTTTACTTACTACATTAGTAGTATGGAGGAAGACTAAGAGTTGAATGGAAAGTGTAAAGTGAGATTATTTGAAATATTAGTAGTGTGGACTACATTTTTAATGTTAAACGGGCAAAATAAGCCATGCAAAGTGCGAATCTGAGGGCAAAGTGCGAATCATCACTATATTTAAGAGGTACTTGTGAAAATAACTAAACAATATTTATATGCCCACAAAAAGTGTTCATTCTCAGCGATAATACACACACATATATAATTATACCATACAAAAATACTCATACTACATGTCACTTTCTCGTTATTACCAAAATATAAAGTGAGTATATTTTTTTCAACTAAAACAAAAATTGTGAAAAAAATATAAGTGATACATACTTTACAAATACTCACTGTTATAAAAATGGATAATAAACTTAAAAAGTTGAATACAATTTTTTCAGTAATTATAACAGTAGAATAGTAAAAAGACCATACTTTACTTACCAAAGTACCCTTAAGTAAAATGAGACTATTTAAAAAATAATAATGTACAATGTACAATGAAAAGTTGAGAAGATAAAAATGGTATTGCATAAAAAAATTTAAGGAATGTAAATAAGATTTGTCCAATTTTTAATTTATATTAGTTTTCCATCACTTGAACTCCTACATAAAATATAAATAACGAAAAAATTATTATTATTTTAGCTATTTTTAATGTTTTAACCTAACACTTTTAACTTTTGTGTCTAATTCTTATCTCAATATTGGAAGAAACTCGAAGAAAAATATATCCACGTCAATGTTGTATATAGGAAATAAGGAATCTTGAGCTCCAAGTAGATTAAATAATAACAACAACTATAGTGATGATGATGATGATGATGATGATGATGATGATGATGATGATGATGATGATGATGATAATATTAATAATATTAATAATAATATTAATAATAATAATATAACAAAAAAATACATTAAAAATGTTGATGACCTTTTAGGTGTGTGAGTGTTCTTATATGCGTCAGATTATTTTTATACATCCATATATTACAAAAGAAATTCACACTTCCTGTCTATATGATGGAAACCACTTAAAAAGAGAGGAAAAAAAAAAGATATATTGTCCACCCAAACATGTACGTGGGGACTAAATTAATTTTATGACAAAAGAAAACCATATTATTTGCTAACACATTTAAGTTTCATTGTTTATGTCACAAATTCAATAAATTTCAGTCACCAGTCAACGAGTCATAAAAGGTTTAGGTATCCTTTATTGTGCATTAAGAGAAAAAAAAAAAAAGAAATGGACATGTCACTTAATTTGTTCATTAAATTTTATTTTTAAGATGCCATTTGTTTACAGTCCACGATTTTATAAGCTAATTCAATGAAATCGTTTTTATGGCATATTTGACATATTATTGTCAAATTTGTGGATCAAGACTCACCATAGTGGACTAGATGCAATTTTGTTCACAAAGACATTTTAATCCTTAGAAAGGTCGAAACCTAGTCAACTCATGTGTTAAATCACAAGATGACTAATGAGTATTAACAAATAATCGATAGAAGTTTTTTTCTTTTGATTTATTTTTTTATTTACAGAGAGGCATAATTTAACGAGTATATATATATTTCACTTCCTTCTCTATATCCAATCCAAAATTTTAGAAATTAGAAGATTCTCAGCGTGATTTGTTATTTTATTTTCTTCTATATTGTAGTTGTAAGTATTTCCATAAAGAACAAAATTATATGTTCACTTACATCTCATTGTTTATTCTTTTTGTATATAGCTCTTAATTAACAGATTTTGAAGATTCTACACAGGTAAAGAGCGACATCAATGACATGCTTGTTATTATATGAACTAAAAAAAACTTATATTGAAGGTAGGAGGCATTTTAAAAGAGCTAAAAATTTATGTTTTGTGTAGCTCGATTTTATTTCCCTTATAGAGTTTTGTGCACACCAATTAGAAAAGTGTACGAAAATAAATCCTTGTTCTTTTAGTACAAATAATAGTTTGGTTATGTTATTTATCACAATGAGTTCTTTGTTATTTGATAGCATTTGCACAAAATTTATAATTTATAATATGTTGTTTCACTTGAATGAAATTGGCACCTTAGCAAAAAAAAAAAAAAAAAAAAAAAAAAAGAAATCGACACCTTTAGCATAATTTAACCACTAACTACTAGTTTGGAAGAGCCATAAAGCCACTCCTAGCATATCGGTTGTTTGGAAAATCACATCCGATGTTACTTATTGGAACAATCACCTTATTACATCACTAGTCGGGAAATTTGTGGGAACTCTAATTGAGAACATAAAATAATCGAACACAAATAGCATGCAATATTTTATGTGGTTTGACAAATAAAACCTAAATCAATCGAGTGAATAGTTGTAATATAGTATATATAAGTTATAAATCTGTGCACGATACAATACTAGTATTTACTTAATTAGAGCATCTCCAACTATGTTAACAATAAATAATAAAAATCGATATTTGAATGATAAAGAGAGAGTTTTGATAGATCGTCATTCGCCGTTATGCCACCACCATATAAATGGTTATTGTCACTTAAATCTGTATGCAAAAGAATGTTGTTATTTAACTCTAGTGACGTCAGGGAGGCACCACAATATACACGAGCGTCGATAATCGGTCATGGGCGATGCTCGGCATGCCGCACATGGGATACCTGAAAGTATTTGTCTATGCTAAATCACATATGCATAGAGCTTCTATTTCCTCGACTATAAAATTCCACCTTTTAAACTATCAAGAAGTTACTCAAACTTATTCTAAATTTTAGTGGCAACTTTACGAACTCAAACATAATCGTAAAGATGATAAGCCAACTTATACAGAAATTCTAGTATTGGAAGTTATAGATCTAGCCAAGATACGAAACAAAACTTGAGTTGATCCCTACAAAATCTTACACAAATACAATTAGGTGGAGTATTTCTGAAGGCCATAGTACTTAAGGCATCAAATGCATTTAATATGAGAGAGGTAATTTTTCTTTAATGAGATTATAGATGAAATAAAGAATAAAGAAGAATAGTCTTTACTCTTTATTAGCATTGAACATGGTTACTCTAATATCTATTTTTTTTTGGGTGAATACTATTGTTTTAACTGTGTGACATTAATTAGACGGTTGTAATAATTTGAGTATTTAAAAACTTATTCATAATAGTTGTATACAAATATATGAAAATTGCACGATATGCCCCCAGCCAGGTTGTGGGTTTTTTTTTTTTTTTTTTTTTTTTTTTTTTTTTTTTTTTTTAAGGGAAGCCAGGTTGTTAGTAACATGAAGCCTTCAACACTTGTATCGATCCATTACAAACGTTCTTGGCAAGAACTCTTATAATTGCAGATGAGAGTTTTTCTTGTTGTCACACATAATTGACTAAAAGTAATCCCAAATTCACACCCTAATTTATTCTTGTTTGGGGAAATGAATTTTCACAATAAAACCATCGTCTCAAAGTACATTTCTCACAAAGGACTCAGGGACTGGTCCCTCCACAAAAACCCATGCCCACAAGACACACACACACACATATATATATATATATATATTTTTTTTTTTGGTTCTAGATTGGTAGGAGGCAGCTATTGAAATTAGTGTGCCTTTAACGGTTAAATAGACTTACTTTGCCTGCAAATTTACACTTTTAAAGAAAGTAGAGAGAGAAAGTAGAAAGAGAGATGAGAAAGAGAGATTTTTGGCTGGCTGGATGGCATTCCACAATGATGGCCAAGAAAGTCACATGGGACAAAAGAGATGCTTATCTTCATCTTCATACAACCCCCCAAATAAAATCCCCCTCTAAGCTTTCCTTCCATTTTCTTTCTTTCTTTTTTCCTTTTCTTTTCTTTTTCCTTCTTCTTTTTTTTTTTTTTTTAATTTCTTTTCAAGATTAACAGCTCTTGAACACCGTGGCATTCGGCACACAAAGGCATATTCTAATTTCTCGGAAAACCACAACCGCTCTATAATTACCAAAAAGCCCCTCATTTGTGTGCCAATTTACTCCCACACGAAGCCCAAACGGGCTCCACCAGACACGGGCAATTTCGCCATGGAGTAGAACACACGCGAGTAGCCGAATACACCCACGTTGTCCACTCAGAGCGTGTACTCAAAATCCCTAAAAGACCCTCGCCTAAGCGGATGAAACACGTCAAGATTAAGGGCATTGTCGTACTTTCGTGGATAGAATTCTTGTCGGGCCCATGATAAAAAAAAAGAAAGAACGTGAGAGATCCGCGCAAAGCACTCAAAAGGTGGCTCTGAGAGAGAGAAAAAAAAAAGAGTGTTTCTGTTTCGAGACGTTATCGGATTTCAAATTTCCATTTCGCCGGAATTTGGGAATTCCGTTCACGTCCGGTCTAGGGTTTTGATAAGACGGAGACACAATAGAGAGAGAGAGAGAGGAAGAAAGCCGTTACAGAGAAACTACTCAGTGAAGGAAGAGAAGAGTCTTCGTTTTCTTGAAGATTCGGATTCGATTTACCGGAATTTTGGTACCTTTCGAGTTCGAGCACAAAGGCTAGGTTTTTATTTTCTTGGGTTGTTTTTTTTTTTCTTTCACTGTTTCGTCGATTCACTGTTCGAATTTTGGCGATTTCTGAAAAGGGGTTTCGAATCTCCCTATTGCCGTTGGCTGTGCTTCGGCGCGCGTGCTTATGAAGTTGAATTCTCGATCGGCGATTGCGGGTGCTGCCAAGGGGTTACTTTGGGAAGTTTCATGATGTTTACACCGCAGAAGGTGTGGTCGGGCTGGTCTCTCACGCCGAGAACCGGGGCCCACAAGAGCGGAACCGGGTCGGGCCCGAACCAGAATTCCATTGGGGATGCAGCGAAGGGGAAAGGTATTGCTCTTGGCGAAGCCGCCACTCCGCCGCCTTCGGGTTTCGCGGTTGAGAATGGCGGAAATGCGCTGATGGGTTCGGGACAACCCGCGGCAGACCGCGACGGGCTGACTCAGAGTATTTCACAGATTGAAAATGAGGTTGGTGAATGAGATTCTGTTTATATTCACGTTTGATTTTAGTATGTTGTGCCGGTTAGTTCTTTTGCAGTTGGTGGGTTTGCGTCTCCTGTTGTATTCATGATGATTTTTATTTATTCTTTAAGAAAGAATTTGTTTATGATTACTGCAATCAATATTGACTTTTTTTTTAATATATCTTGTGTATTATTGATTATTTTTAACGGACTCTTGTTTTGGCCAGCTTTTTGAATATCAGTATAACATGGGGCTTCTCTTGATTGAGAAGAAGGAGTGGACTTCTAAGTATGAAGAACTTAGGCAAGGATTAGATGAAGCCAAGGATGCCCTTAAAAGGGAACAAGCGGCACATTTAATTGCATTATCTGATGTTGAGAAGCGGGAGGAGAATTTAAGAAAGGCCTTGGGGGTTGAGAAACAGTGTGTCCTTGATGTAAGCTTGGTTTTTTTATTTCTCTCATGATTTAACTTGTGTAATATTTATTCTTGTAAAATTATCTATGTGCTTTGTTATCTAGCAAAAAAGTTGCAGTTGGTACGTGCTCATAGGTGTAGTATGTTGACTCTGCAGCTAGAGAAGGCTTTGCGGGAGATACGTGCTGAAAATGCGGAAATTAAGTATACAGCTGATTCAAAGTTGGCTGAGGCAAATTCTTTAGTCACTAGTATAGAAGAGAAATCTTTAGAGCTTGAAGCAAAGTTGCGAGCAGCTGATGCTAAGCTTGCTGAGGTGAGCAGAAAGAGCTCCGAGATTGAGAGGAAGTCACATGATCTTGAGGCCCGAGAAAGTTCACTGCGAAGGGATCGTCTATCCTTTGTCGAGGAGTATGATTAACACTTTGACCTTTGCAAATTCACTCTCTTTCTTTAGGCTATGACTATCTTAATATTCTTGATTCCATATGCTCATTAAATGTGCTTTTATATCTGATCAGTTGGAGCATTCTGACATGTTGCAATTATTGACTCAGTGCTTTTCAATATAACTAAGATGGTTTGATTTTCCCAGGCAAAGGGTACACGAATCTAATCTGTCTAAGCAGAAGGAGGACTTGCGAGAATGGGAAAGAAAACTTCAAGAGGGAGAGGAAAGGCTAGCTAAGGGTCAGATAATTCTCAACCAAAGAGAGGAGAGGGCAAATGAGAATGATAGGACTTTTAAGCAGAAACAAAAGGGCCTCGAGGATGCACAGAAGAAGATTGATGAAAGCAACGCAATTTTGAAAAGTAAAGAAGAGGATATTGGTAGTAGAATAGCAAATCTAACCTTAAAAGAGAAGGCAAGAATTTTCTTCTTTGAGCCGTTTTTAAAATTGTTTATGACACACGTGTCAATAATTTAAGGATTTTCTTTCTTTTTTTATTTTCTGATTGCAGGAATATGATGCTTTGAGAATAAGCCTAGAGATGAAAGAGAAGGAATTCCTCCTTTTAGAGGAAAAGCTTGATGCTAGAGAAAGAGTAAGTTTTTGCGCCTCTTAATTTTTATGGAGTGTAGGACGCTTGGTTAGTGAGGGTCTATGTGATACTGCTACTGGGTCATAGGACATATATTGCTGCAATCAGGAATCTCATAAGGTTTTCACTTGTCATATCACTTACGCGCATGTTGTGGGTCAGTCTACGGAATTAGCTTTGTTGGTAAATTAGGTTCCTGGATGGTGAAGAATTAATGCCTTTTCTCTTCACGTTTATTACTCTTTAGGTATTTCATTTTGCTTCTTTTTGTTCCTTCCTAGCTAATGAAAATGTTTGTTGTTGTATGAAGGATTTGGCATCATTTAACCATGAAAATGAAGACTGCAAGAATCACTCTAATTATTACTCAACATATAGTCCTTATGCTTTCTTTGCATGAAATGACTGCAGGTTGAAATTCAGAAGCTTACCGATGAGCATAATGCCATTTTGGAAGAAAAGAAGCGTGAATTTGAGTTGGAAATAGATCAGAAGAGAAAATCATTGGATGATGAATTGAAGAACAAGGTGGTTGATGTAGAGAAGAAGGAAGCCGAAATCAATCACAAGGAGGAGAAACTTTCAAAAAGAGAGCAGGCGTTGGAGAAGAAGTGGGAAAAGTTTAGGGAGAAAGAGAAAGACCATGAAACAAAATTGAAAACTCTAAAAGAAAGGGAGAAATCTGTTAAGTCTGAGGAGAAGAACCTAGAGAAAGAGAAGAAAGAAATGCTTGCCGATAAAGAGGAATTGCTTGGAATTAAGGCTGAAGTTGAGAAGATCAGGGCTGAAAATGAAGAACAACTACAGAATATAATTGATGAGAGGGATCGACTTAAAGTCAGCGAAGAGGAGAGGTCAGAATACCGGCGCTTGCAATCAGAACTAAAACAGGAAATTGACAAGTACATGCAGCAGAAAGAATTGCTTCTGAAGGAAGCTGACGATTTAAAGCAGCAAAAGGAGGTTTTTGAGAGGGAATGGGAAGAGCTGGATGAGAAAAGAGCAGAGATTGAGAAAGAGCTGAAGAATTTGAGGGAGCAGAAGGAAGAATTTGAAAAACTGAAAGAAATTGAAGAAGAGAGGCTGAAAAATGAGAAAGCAGCAGCACAAGACCACATAAGAAGGGAGCAGGAAGAACTAAATTTGGCCAGGGAATCATTTTCAGCCTACACGGAGCATGAGAAAACCTTATTAGCTGAGAAAGAAAAAAGTGAGAGAAGCCAAATGATCCATGATTATGAGGTGCGGAAAAGAGAACTTGAAACTGATATGCAAAATCGTCTGGAGGAGATTGAAAAGCCCTTGCGTGAAAAGGAGAAATCCTTTGAGGAAGAGAGAAAGAGAGAATTGGATAATATTAATTACCTAAGGGATGTAGCTAGAAGAGATATGGAAGAGTTGAAATTTGAGAGACTTAAAATAGAGAAAGAAAGACACGAAGCTGATACAAATAAAGAGCATCTTGAAAGGCACAGAGTTGAAATACGAAAAGACATTGAGGAGCTTTTTGACCTTAGCAACAAGCTCAAGGACCAACGAGAACAATTTATCAAGGAGAGAGAACGCTTCATTTCGTTTGTCGATGAGCTCAAGGGTTGCAATAACTGCAGTGAAATAGTCTCTGAGTTTGTGCTTTCTGATTTACGATCTTTAGTTGAAATTGAGAACGTAGAAGTGCTTCCCATGCCAAAGCTAGCTGATTATGCAAAGGGAGGCGTTATTGGAGACCTGGCTGCTTCTAAGAAGCCAAGTAGTGATACATTTGATCCAAAATCTCCAGTATCTGGTGGAACTATGTCCTGGCTTCGTAAATGCACGACAAAGATTTTTAAGCTCTCTCCAGGAAAGAAATCTGAGTCGACCTCTGTTCGAAATTTGGCTGAGGAGGAGCCCTTTTTGGGAGAGCATAATCTGGAAGAGCCACCTAAGAAAGTGCTCAGCAGTGAAATCGAGGCAGAGCTCTCTTTTGCTGCTGCTAGTGATTCTTTTGATGTTCAAGCCAGCATAAGAGAGACTGAAGCTGGTCAGGATCCGTCAGCTGATGATGTGAGCAATATCAACAGTCAAGGACCAGAAGCTCCGGAAGATTCTCAACCATCTGATTTGAAGGGGGAAAAAAAGCGTCCAAGAAGAGGAAAGGGTAAAGTAAGCAGAACACTCTCTGTGGAAGCAGTTGTTGAAGATGCTAAAGCTCTACTCGGGGAAGATTTGAAACTAAATGATGGTGGGTATCAGAATGGGAATGCTGAGGATTCTGCAAATACAAATGCTGGAAGCCAGGGTGGGTCCATCATTGCTGAGAAAAAACCTTTTTATGCACGTAAGCGAGGGCGTCCTCGGACATCTCAAGCCACAGTGAGTGAGCATGATGGGTATGACAGTGAAGAACGTTCAGAGGCAGGCCGGCGCAAGAGGATGCGGGATAAGGTTCCAACGGTTGAGCAAGCTCCAGCTGAAAGGCGGTATAATCTCCGCCGACCCAAAAGGTAAATCTTAAGGTTTAGATCTTGGTAGGTGGTGACTATGTAATTTAGTTTGTAGTCCATGCACAGCGAATGTCTCAAATTTTTTTTATTCTGGTTACCTGTGACTTTTCGTTTTGTTCTCAGTCAAGATGCAGCCGCACCAGTTAAAGCTTCACGTAGCAAAGAAAATCAGCAACAAGTCACGGACGAAGCAGGTCTCTCCTCTATAGCTGCTCCAGCTAGTTCGAGGGGATTTGCCAGTGAGAATGGTGGAAGTTTGCATCTAGTGCGGGTGGGTCATTCTAAGCGTTTGGATGTGTTTTGTTCTATTTTATTTGCCATTTCACCTTCCGTTTTTTTTTTTTTAGGTTTCTATCAAGTTTCTGAGTATTGGATACGTTTTCAAGAATTCAAGCTTAAAACTATGAGATTTTTTGTTATTACTTGTACTTCACGCTCTCTCACCTCATGCATCACGTGATGTTTGACACAACATTTTTGAGTTGCAAATTATGTATGGGCAAGGTGCATGGTCCTTCAAAGTTATCAAAATGAATTATTTTCTGATGGGATTTTAATTTTTTTTTTGTTTTACTTTATGTCCGCAGTGTACAACTGTTGCCAATACCGAAGATGGTTTTGTTGATGCAACCAAGAATATGGTTGAGAATACAGCTTTGAGCGAAGAGGTGAATGGAACCCCTGAAAGGGGCAGGGAGTATGCTGATGGAGACGATTACCGGAGTGAATCCCAGGGAGATGATGCTAGTAACGTCGAAGATGAGGATGAGGACGACGACGAAGAGTCTCAGCATCCTGGTGAAGTCTCAATAGGGAAGAAGCTCTGGACCTTCCTCACTACATAATCGCTGAAAGTTTTGATGCCCATAAGAATGAGTAGTGCTGGACGGATCTTGACTGCTTCGCACTTCTTTAGGCATATTCTCTTTTAGGATCTCTCCTAATGTGTAGTAGTGTGTATTAACAATTTAAAATTTAGCTAGAACCATGGAAATATTTTAGGCAGGGGGAATTGGGTTTTTCTTTACCCCGCCGTTATCTTCTGTAGGAGTTAGGAATTATTGGGCTGTTTTTAGTTTTCTTCTTTTTCCATGTTTCTTTTGAGCAACTATCTTTAGACAATTTTATGTAGCTGTAAACCGGTGCATATTCGACACTGGACTTGGCTTCCTACTCTTATAACATTGTATCAAATGCTTGCATCTCTTTTGTTCTGGAATGAGTGCTTTGACTTTATGCTCTCATCTCTCTCTCTCTCTCTCTCTCCCTCTCATACTCTCTCTCTCTCTCTAACGATGTCGCGAGCCTCATAAAGATTTTCTTACACTTGTGCCTGTGTGTGTGTGTATACATACGTTGGGAACCTTCTTGGGTGCTGTGTATATATAGACAATTTTAAATATGTTGTGATGAGCCGTTGATACGAGAGTGCAGTTTTTAACATTAAATAGGTAGAGTTTCACTTATGTCTCACGTCAGTTGAGAACTTTCTTAGGTGCATATGAATGTTTTTATAATATTATTTGAATTCTTGGAGCCGATCTTCATAACTAGATATGAAGGATAAATATTATATAATATTTGTTAGATTAGCTGAAATATGTTCAATTTCTGCATGAACTATTAAATTGATTATGTGACATGCACTGTTGATGAAAATCCCCCCCCCCCCCCCCCCAAACGTTGGTTTCAAATTACGTTTTACAATACTTACATACCGCACAAATTTCTATTTCACATGTTTTTAGATTTGGTCAAGGCTCCTCTGTGAAATGCTGCCATGCAGGAGAAGTTTGCGGTCTTTTTCCCCTGCTGTGTTCTCCAACTTCCTCGTTGTGAACTGAAACATTATCAACCGAAGTATTTTCCGGTTCAGTGGGGGTGGGGTTGTGAGCCATCATTTCATTGTCAAAAAATGGCTCATCACCAAGCTCAGGGAGAGCAGTGAAATTAGGGAAGTTTGATTCGGTCATTTTCTAGAAATTGATTGAACTTAAACTTTGTAAATGAAAGAGTATGAAAATGAGTGATCGCGAGAGAAAAGCTTAGAATTAAAACCAAAGAGACAAGATGAGTGATAGAATGAGAGTGAGATAAGAAGTTGAGATTAATGGGTATTTATAAGGGATTTTAGGGGTTTTTTCGGATTGTGACCGTTGGGCCTGCGAAGGGCCCAACGGTCATAATCCTCACGGGCTGGAGGGCTTTTTGGCGGGTCTAGGCCGGGCCGAACAAGGGCTGAATCCGGCCTTGGGCCGAACTGGGCTTGGGCCGGGCTGAGAAGCCGCGGCCCAGCCCTAGCCCATCAAACATGCTGAGCCGGCACAACCCGTAACAGTATCGTACCGGCCCGTGCTGAATTCGGCACTGTTACTGGCTAGGCCAGGCCGTCTATAGATGGCCCGGCCCATTTGACACCTTTAATTGAAGTTAATAAAGTCTTATTTCAAATAAACACAAGAAAGATTAAATTGACTAGCTATATTGTCTACTCAAAGAAGGTTATCGGATAAACTTGAATGTAAAAGTTTAATTAATAATTTTGCATCACCCAAAAAAAAGGGTGACTTTGAGTCTAAGAACACAATGAGGGACAAAAGAATTAGAAGATAGACGAAAATTTTCGAGAGGTCCCACTTCGAAAATTATTGGAAAATTTAATTTTCAAGATAGACGAAAATTAAATGCAGAAAATTATTCCAATTAGAAACGAGTTTCAAAATTAAAGTTAATAAAGTCTTATTTCAAATCAACACAAGAAAGATTAAATTGATTGGCTATATTGTCTATTCAAAAAAGGTTATCGGATAAACTTGAATGTAAAAGTTTAATTAATAATTTTGCATCACCCCAAAAAAAAAGGGTGACTTTGAGTCTACGAACACAATGAGGGACAAAAGAATTAGAAGATACACGAAAATTTTCAAGAAGTCCCACTTCAGTTTTGAGCTTGATCTGCTGGAAGACGCCCTCATCCATTTGTGCTTCTGCAACTGCAGCTTTTTGGGTAAAGTCTAGCATCTTAATGCGGAAAATCTCTTCAGATCCCTATGAAATCAAAGTTGAGCAATATATTGTTCATACAATGTTACATGATATGAATATTTTGTTAATGATAGATATTCAAGGAAGTATGTTCTCATACTTGCAGCGCGGAGTTAGGCAATCCTGTTCAGTACAGCTCTTTGAGTGCAAATTTAATGCATACCAGACCTTCTTACATATTGTACAGCCTCCGTTGACTCTAACTGTGCACATCTTAGCATGGGTGAACATCCTTCGTAAATTGTAGCAATGTTTGGAAGCACAGGGTTCTTCTTTGGTTCCTCGGCAACGTTTTGCGTGTTCCATTAGCCGCAGCAGTTTCTTTATCTGTGCAATTAGATTAAACCATTGGTTCATAACGGTCGAACTTCAGGCTGCCAAAAATTAATTACTAGTCTAGCCATGCTTCAAAGAACAATTTGTATATATTTTTTGTCAAGTATTTTGATTTACTCTTTAGTATGAGTGAGTTAATCAATTGCAAAAATTGATATACTATACTCATTAGAAGCTATAAACGATTAAGATAATTATGCTACTTATATGGTTAAGCATTTACTATAAACACAGGACAAAACATTTCATACCAAACTTTCTGATAGTTCCACTTCACTCCCTTCCTCAAGACTAACTGCAGAAGACTGTTGAGTTGACTTATGAATGTGACAAGAACCAGTCTCCACAGTCGGCGGAATAAGGTGGCGGAGATGATAGAGCATCATCATTGAAGAGTGCTTAGCCCGGCGAAGCGAATCAAATTGGTAATGATTGTCCCGACAGAAGCTTAAGAATTTATTCCTATTCTCATATAACTCGCTGTCCAAAATAACATCTTCATCTTTGGTATCAAGAGTCACATCCGTTAGGGCCTGAAAAGGAAAGTCATACAAGTGAGTAAAAATTTTGAATGTTATAGATGTGAAATTCCATAATATGGAGAGAATGACATTGAAGGTTTGAGATTTACCTGAGAGAGGAAATGTTGTTCCCCTTTAGCTGAAGTATGTGTCTCGTTTGAATGAAGATCTTGCTCCACAACATGACATCTGAAAAAATTGCAAGAGTAAATAATAAATTATTAGTCTATAATCAAGTTGCTTGGATAGCTTAACATAGTAGAAGAAATTGTAGATAGTTGGTTGAGACAGAAATATTAGAAACAAAATATTGAATAACTGTAAATAGTAGATGTCTATTACTTGATAATTTGCCTTTCATTCAGTTTATAAGAGTTAAACAAGTAAGATTCCAATCAGTAAATCACTAAAGGTGAATGTCGACTAGATACAAAATCTCTTGTATCTTACTGAAGAACTTCTTATCAAAGTATACCAAACAAACTAGATACAAGTTCAATATTAACAGATTATATGTTCTGAATGCTTAAAGAGGAGTTAGAACATTCTAAAGAAAAAGATACTTATAGATAAAGTTACCTTTCACATAGATTAAACTCTTTGCACTGATTGCAGAACCATCGCTTCCCTGATAATATCGGTTCGTAACAATGAGTGCAAACAAATTGCAAGTGGATGACTATAAAGTCCTTTTTAAAAGGTAAAATGTTTTGCCCCAGCTGCTCAAAAGAACAGGAAAACAATAAACAATGAGTAAATTAAAATATCACATCAGTTCTTTCACAAATGAAAGTATTTCACCCAAGAAATATCTTGTACACGGGATGATTATCAAATCTATCTACAAATTCCGCATGAGAGTTCTAAATGTGGATTGAAGGAAAAACTAACCTTTTGCATCAGTAAAATATCATTGAGAGCACTAGAAGAATTTGTCTGACCCATGGATTTCAAAGTTGCCTTTGCCATTTCTTTCTTCGTCTTTTTCTTGCTTTCCTTTTCAATGTCCTTAATGACATACTCAACTGCTCCAGACCAGTAATCCCCATCAAAATAAGGCAAACGAGCTGCTGTTATCTTACACTTAGCTTGTTTATGTTGGATAAAAAAGTGATCGTATAGATTAGTGTGATTGACCACAATTTCTTCATTTTCTGCCTTTTTCAGCATTGAGTGATACCTGCACACGTTTGAAACAATCCACGTTGAAACAAACTCGTACAGGAGCATGCAAAAAAGCCAGACACACTCACAAAGAATGAGAAATAAAGAGACAAACCATTGTCGAAGTTTATCAGACTTCGGTATTTTCTGAGTCTCTGGATGGCAATAGAAGAAGAAGTCGTCTCCCTTTATAGGAGGGCAAGCCCATATATAACAGGTTGCAAAACCTCTCTTCTTCACATGATCGAGGTAACCAAGCTGATGGGACAAGAAGAAAATGAAAAGCAAGTTAAGTTGCAGCTGATAGTTATAGTCAAGGTGAAACAAGAAATGCCTAAGGGAAGGTAAAATTTTACCAAAATTTCGTGGAAAGCAAATGTACGAAGAGCTTCTCCAGTTGAGGTCCCGATAACAGGCCTAAAGTACTTGATAGAATCGAGATATGATATATAAACACATCGTTGATTTGGCTTGCCGCATTCCGACCCGAACTCTTGGACATACATACTAAAAAGGCACACATCAACCCCACCAATCTTCTGAAACAAAAGAATTAACTGAAACGGGAAGAAAGAATTAGTACAACTGATAGTGAAAGAGGCATTCAATGAGAGACATACGAACACAAAAACCTTGAACTATAAAGCATTTCTAACCTTTGATGTATAGGGGAATTCAGTTGGATAACTCTCATCCTCAAGGATGTCCAAAAGTTGCTTCTTGACTATCATTTTTTCCCTCATGGATAGAACTACCCTGACAGTAAGATCCTCTGCTCCGGCAACCTGGCAGTAACAAATGGAATCAAAAGGTCAACCATCTAGAAAATAAAAAGGACTTTTATAGCACATTTGCCTCTTAAACTTATCGTGGTTTAACAAATTGCCTTTTAAATTTTTAATTTTGACAATCAACAGTCAAACTTGTTCAATCATTGCAATTAGGGACATTTGAGCAACAGGTGTTAAATGTTGGATGGATTGAAAGGTATTTTAGTAAAATGATTATTCATTTGTGATAAAAAATAATTAAATTAAGGGGAAAAAAAAGTGATCTGCTCTGCAATTAAATCAGAGAATTCATTTGGTTGTTGACAAAACCATCGAATCTAACCCATCTAATATCACCATCAAAACCATTGAAATCCTTGAGCAGAAACCCACCCATCTCTGTTGAGATTGGGGCCGTTTTCAACGAAAAACTGAAGTAAAATAGAAGAAAATCAGTTGAGATTTGAGGTTGAAATTCGATCGCAGTTGGGGAATTGGGGTTATCGGTTGAGATTTGTGGTTGGGTGTAGAGGATTGATGAAAATGGAGGAACTGACGAAGTCGAGTCTGATCGGAACCACAGTGTTTACGGGACGCAGATTAAGTTTAGGGCGTTGATTGCCAAAATCAAAAGTTTTAGCTGGTAATTTATTAAATCACGACAAATTAAGGGGCAAATGTGCTAAGAACACAAAGAAAAACACTATCAAAATACACACAACTGTATATAATCTTAAAACAAGCACGCAATGGATGTAGACATAATTGAATCATACCTCATTGAAACATTTTCCTGCAACCTTTGCTCTCTCTTTTCTTTCTTGTTTGAGACGCCTAAAGAGCCTCTCCTCAATGTGGTCGCTAAATTTTGTCCGCGGCAGATCCTTTGCACTAAAAACCACATTTTTAGTCGAGAGCTTGTAGTCTCTGCTTTCTTTTTCTTTCAACCAACATTTGGGACATTTATACTCAATGTTTGCTCCTGAATTAATCTTTCCATCGAAAAGTCCACATGTTTGATGTTGCCAGCTCTCGCATTTATCACATTGAACCCACTGCAAATACACACTTACGTTTAGAAGTAACTCATTGTTAATGAAGTCAGCAAAATCAAAGACAACATGACTTAGCTTACCGATTCTTCAAACTCCGAATCATTCTTCCCTCTATGAAGTGTTTCCTTCAAAATGCATATTCCATGTACGAATATCTCCCTACCTTGAGAAAGCTTGTGGCATTTGGTGCAAAAGTAGTATTGCGGAGAATTTTCTTTCCGTGTGCTGTAATAATAATTCGCATTGCGTTTGACGGGAACAGAACAAGAAGAACAATATATTGTTTTTGGTGCAAGCAAAATGCAACACTTTCCACACAGTGTGCATGCGTTCTTATCAATTTCTTGTATGTTCTTATCCAAGAAATCCTGTGTTAGGAAGAGAAACAAATCTTGATCACCATGTATGTAGAAAAAGGAAAAAAAAAAAAAAAAAACTTGAAGCAATGAAACAAAACCAGCATGCACAACGTTAGAAAAAAAAATTAGAAAAATATTAATGTTCTAATACATATCCTAAGGAGACATAACGTTAAACATTATATCAACCAATCACAATGTAAGAACTTGCTAACCTGATCAGTCCACTGGCGAAGGTATTTGATATGTTCTTTAATTTGCTCTGTTGTGAGATCTTCAATGATGGTATGGGCCTTTATGCTTGGCTTTCCTGTGTTTTCTTCTTTTTCATGCTCAGCTTTTAATTCTGACTGTGTTTGGATGGACATAGCTCTCATCTGTGTCTCAGAAGCTACACAATCAACCCCAAGCTCTTTCGGCGAACTCTTGAAAGGCAAAATATCTGAAATTTCCTTCACATTGACTCTAGTATTGTTGCCACTAGTCAGTTCTATGTCCATCGGCTCACGAGTCATGGCAGGCTCAGACGTCTTTCTAATATAATCATGTGCATCATTGCGTCTGATCTTGCCGAGGCTCACGGAATACTGTGTAGATTTCGTAAAAGATTCTCTGAACTCTTTCTCCATTGCTTCATCATCAATAGATGGAGGAGGTTTGGAAGAACAAGTATGATTTTTTAGTGGAGCAACTAGACAAGAATTTTCTAATTTCGTACGTTTCGGATAGGGGAGCAGATCCCGATCAGACTTGTTGAAATTAGCCTTTGCAGAATCTTGAAACTCAGAAAAATTCCAGACACCATTTGAAGATTTCAAGTCCAGCTGATGTTTATCCTTGCACCCTTGCTCACACACAGGCTCATCAATTAACAGTGATAGCATACGAGTGCTATTTCCATCCAACCTGTTGTGCACCAGTGGTTGGTGGGGTGTTTCAGAAGTCGCCATTTCCATACCAGAGGGCGATGGAGGGTCCAAAATAATAAAAGTTGCATTTTTGTCTTGACCTTCTGCCGCATTATGTTTACATTGGAGTAAAAATTCCAACCTATCATTTAATGTCTCTGGATTGGCATACTCCTCCTGAAAATCATTTTTGAAGTACAATTTCAAGAGAAGTATTGCAGAATCATAAAGTTCGAACATGAGGAATTGAAAAAAAAAAAAAAAAAAAAAAAAAAAAAAAAACCAAACCTCACTTATCAGCCTCTAAGAAAAAACTAGCTAATGTGCATTTTTTGGTTTAAGAATTCAAAGTAAACTGATGATAAATTAATATAAACCACTATTTAATGGAAACTAAAGTAGCAGTAGCTAAAAAAAAGGGAGTAAAGGTAGATATTAATTAATATATAGTGTAAGAATGACAAACCTTTGAACTAGCCTGCATAAATAGGTCAACTTCCAAACTGGTGACCAGAAATTCCCTTTGTTGCATACCATAACTTGTCTTTACTGACAAGAAGTCAGCACTGCAAAAGATGATCATCAATACAAATATAGTCAATTGATGAGAACGCGCAAAAGATTTCATGTAGAAACAGTTTGTTTGTTTGACCAATCTACACGTAACATTTAGTCCACAATATAAAATCATTCAGAAACTTACATTTTGCGCCTCACTGAATCCCGGTGGCGGCTGACGGCGGGATCCCGTGGCCAATTCCTTGAGCCATTTCCATCTGGCTGGTAAAGATGTGGAAGGTTCCTGAATTCGAGTTCGTCGAACTCGCTGGAGTTTTGCTCCGGCATGTTTCTTTTCACACACATCTTATCGCTCTTTTGTGATTGATTGTTTTCTTAAATACTGCAAGAGTAAGCACCACAATTGTACATTTAGTTTTCTCATACATGCCATCTCGCTATAACACAATCAATCACAAAGCATCAAGCAATATTCAAGTAGTTGCAGACAAAATTTTTACATATATGTCATGAGGTTTTTTTTTATTTATTTATTTTTTTTTAAACTCAATGCGTACCATCATGAACTCAAGTAACAAGATATTGACGCTGCAAAAAGTAGGAACTGATACAAAAAATGTAAAATATTTTGCAGAAACTTTTATTATAACAAGGATTAAAAACTAATTAACTAAATTATAATGGCAAATATAAACATTTGTAACACGTTCTCTATTATATACACAAACAAGGTCAAAATAAGTCAACGAAATTAGCCCAGGCATTTAACTTAACATTACCGGTATCTTTTTGAAATATGTACCGTGGTGATTTTCTAGCTTATATTATAGAGCCCCCGGGGCAATATTAAAACAAATGAAAATTGGTTTTTATATCATGGGATTTTCCTCAAACATATGTAATCTTACTTGTTCAAAGTCTCACTTAATTGAGTATTTAGTCTTAGGGAAAAAAATTAAAAGCCTTTGCTATCATGTGTTTTTGTGTGTGTGTGTGGCTAAAAATAGATATCTTGGGCAGTAAGAAACCCCCAAAGCTAACCTAAATACAAGCCCTAAATCACTGGGCACAAAACAAACAATCAACAACACAATGAAACATAGAAAATCAACTCAGAAGGGTTAGCGCGCGATTGATTAATTGCATTGTAATCATAACAAGGTTAATAACCTATATATCATGGGATTTGCTTGTTAAAAGTCCTACAAAATTGAATATCCAAGCTTTTTTTTTTTTTTTTTTTCATTTCATATTAAAACAAATGAAAATTGGTTTTTATATCATGGGATTTTCCTCAAACATATGTAATCTTACTTGTTCAAAGTCTCACTTAATTGAGTATTTAGTCTTAGGGAAAAAAATTAAAAGCCTTTGCTATCATGTGTTTTTGTGTGTGTGTGTGGCTAAAAATAGATTTCTTGGGCAGTAAGAAACCCCCAAAGCAAACCTAAATACAAGCCCTAAATCACTGGGCACAAAACAAACAATCAACAACACAATGAAACATAGAAAATCAACTCAGAAGGGTTAGCGCGCGATTGATTAATTGCATTGTAATCATAACAAGGTTAATAAGTTATTAGGGATTAAATCCATTATGATTATGAGAGGATTTTTACAAATCAGTCTTCCTAATTCACTACAGTCTATTTGTTTAACGAGAATCAAGAATTTTTCAAAAAATTTCCCAATTTTACGATCAAAAATTAAAATTTCCCCATTTTTGATCGACTTCAATGTTCCTGCTCATAAACGCTAATTTTGTTTGCTAGTGCATAAACCTAAAAAATTGTTTCATGCAAAGACTTCGTCTAATTTTATAATCCCTACGCAAACAAATTGTTTAACGAGATTCAATTGAGATTTTAAAAAATTTTCTCAATTTTTATCCACTTAATTATAACATAAACCCTAAACTATTGTTTCATGCAAAAACTTGGACCAAATTTTATAACTCATACACAATAACGACTAAAAAATATAGTGCTTTCAATCCCGAAACCCTAAAAATTTCGTTTTTTTTTTTTTAATTTTCTGAGAAAAGAAAATAGTTTGACTAGTAAAAGTATCTTAAATTATAGTTTCAATGTAAACATAGAAAAAAAAATTGTAAAATAAAGTCAACACCACAGTAAAAAGTAATAAATAACTAAAGAAACAAAACGATACCTACCTAGTTTTTATCGCACTTGCCCTCCCTCCTCTTTCTCTCTCTCAAATACAGTTACCAACAATCGGTAGGGTAAGTCTAATGTAAGGAAATCTGACTTTAGTCCTTGATAATACGTCTCTTATAGGAATACAATTATCCACACTCGGCAGAGTTATATTAGGATTTGTTCAGTTTTAAATATTATATTATTTTTCAATTTTATCCCTACTTCTATTTTTTTTCCTTCCTTCCCAAGCTTCTCTTTAAGGTTCTATTCATTTTACTGATTTGAGTTTAGAATTTGAATTTTACTGTAGTAAAAAATTATCATAAACAATCACATTTAAGATGACGTTTGGTTCATGGGTTCATAATCTGGTTTATGATTCTGATTTTTGAAATCTAAATTTTTTGTAAGAGAAAAATACTGTAACGAATTAAGAATCATAGTCCAGAACCAAACCAAAAACGCTCGAAACAAACGGAGTATAACTTTTTTACTACAGTAAAAAATTCTCACATAAAATCATCTCAACTCGAATTAAAAATTCGAATTTAACTTTTGTGTTGATGATTGTAGGTCGTGGCTTCCATGGCCGTCGGTGGACCTTCCTATGGCATTTGATTTGACTATATGTAAGGTTAAATTGTTTGTGTGGCTTGCTTTTCATGATATTCTACCTTCATGTTCTAACCTGGCCTATAGAGGAATTGATTGTTGTGCTAGGTGTAAGAGATGTGGCGAAGAGAAAGAAACCATCTAACAATATCGGAACAGAGTGCCGAACACGATACGCGAACACGAATTGCTAGTCAAAGGAAATAGGTGGTGGAATAATGTAGACATCAGTGTAGATTTTCATCCCTTGGTTGTTGCGTTTCTGGTCATGATAATGTAGCAGCCTACACACTTGGCACAACTCGCGTTAACTGTGAAAACCCTTGATACACCAGATTAACACAACCTTTGTTCAATGATTCTTAGTGTATATCCATGGATTTACTGTGTAAACCCCTATTATTTATTTACTAATTAAACACCATCTGCATTATCTATCATGATCGTAAATTCAGAGAAACTAAAGAAAAAAGTTTGAAAAAAATTATCGTTAAGTTATACTTGCACGGAAAAAATTAAACATGATTAAACAACTAAATTACTTCAGGTACCATCCAATCCCTCCCACACGTAAATCCTTTACCGTAATGTGGTAAAGACTAAAGAGTAGAATAAAAAGCTCAAAACAGTTAACAGTTAAACGCAAGGAAGAGGAGCTTCAAAGAGTAGGACCCGATGCATCCTGCTGTATTGTCGTTTTCTATTTGATCTTATATTTTCTCTCTCCGGCTTGTAAAAGTTTCAGCTGAATATGCTATTAATGGTTTAATCACCACAATAGACTAAATTAATGGGCGGTGCTATCAATCAAATATGTGTTTTAAAATATCTATGTATATATTCTTATTAAATAAATATATCTTGTTAATTAATGGAACTGGATGGTGCTCTCAAGAGACTTCTAATAACTATTATGCATTATTTTGTTAAATATATCTTGTTCATTGTAGCACGTTCCAAAGTTTATTAATGAATTTAGAAACATTGTATATATATCAAATGTACAATAGCTAGATTTTAAAGTTCAAATATCATATTGATACAAATAACATAATTTAAAATAAATTTATTTACTCAAAAATTATAGGTAAAGTTCAGATAGCATATTGATACAAGTAATATAATTAAGAATAAATTTATTTACCCAAAATTTTATCTACAATGTGAATATATTATAGTATCAGCACTTGTTATGATCAATATTTTGTTTATGGTACGTAAATCATTTTGTCTTTTGCTTTTATTTTTTTGGTTAATATTGTCTCTTCTTTAAAACTATTTTATATAGTCTTGTCGTTTTCACCAAATATTATTGCCTCTTAAAGTCCTGTCGTATTATCAATACTATCGTAACTCGTTTTATAGTACATTACACTTTAAATCACCACCGTTTCAGAAAATACTATCGTTCTTTTAATAGAATGTCCTTTAATCAGTGTCTCTTGTAATTGTTGTTCTTTTCTCAAAAAGAAGTACATATATCTATATAATATGTATCTATGTATACGATGTCTTTTTCTGAAGCGTTGTCGTTTCTCAAATGTGGTTAGTGGTTTGATCAAATACTGTAGTTTCTTAAAACAATTATTGTCGTACTGATTGAATACTATCGCTTTACAAAGCTTATGTCGTTTTCAGCGCACACGCATCGAAACAAGTGATTAGACAAATTACTTCCAATATACATATATATGTTTGTTCAACTTCATCTTAATATTCAATTAGCAAAGAACTACATCTCAAAATCTATCAGCCACAAACGATCTGTATAAGACTAGAAGAATTATACTTTAACTGGTCATCTAAACTAATCAAGATCCAACTCGTTCTTTATAGCTTTAGCACCCAAAAATACTAATGCTTTATAGAAATCCCTCCCCATTTTCTATCTCAGGTGAACTAATCTATAATCTTTTACAGCTATAAAATTACAATTACAACTCCTTTTACCTTTTACTAAGATGGCGATACCTGTCTTGCCTTTCCCTACTAAGAGTTGAATAATCAAAATCGTAGTCGTTCCTGCTTTCATCAACCCAATATCTAGCGGAACCATACTCTTTTGGAGAGACATGGGATGAGTAATGTGACGAACCAAAAGAACCATGGCCATAATCTTCATCGCGAATATGGCTTCTTCTGCCTCTGTCTGATTCAAACCTTCCGAAGGGTGGATTAAGTCTCGGACTGTGAGAGTTGTAACTTGATTCATAACTACTACCATATCTAGGTAGGTAAGTTGACATGGCTGGGCTGAACCCCTGGTCAACACCAGGGGGTCCATCATCTCTGAATTCTCTGGACCACCTTTCCTCTCGATGATGACTTCTGCCGGTGGGTTCCGAAGAATGGTTAGATCTGCGGAGCAATCGGTTCCTGTAAATATCTGAACTTGCTGGGGCAGCTGTCCAGATTCTCCGATCAGCATTTTCTGGAATTGGCCCATTTATTCCTGGGAATTCTACAGTCATTTTCCTTGGTGGTTCGCGATTATCTGCTTCAATAATTTCACCATCCTCCTGCTCTGCTTTATTGCCTTCACCATCGGCGTATATTGTAATACCTGATGGCTGATCCTCCTCATCTGGATCTAAAAATGATGGATAGAATAAATGAATTTAACATGAGGTGCCAATGGTATGATAAATGATCCACCATGAAGAGGAAAAAGAACCACTAAAATGCAGAAAATAGATGAAGAACTGATAACTACAAATGTGCAAAAATAGGTGGTAATTTTTACTCATACAAGCAGCATTTGAAATATTGAAACTTAGACATGGTAGTACGAACAAATGTAATGAACATATCTCTGATTACCAAGGTATCCCGGTGGGTATCCAATTTCTCGCATCCGACCAAGCCAAGGAGGTGGATCAAGCTCCTGCATAACCCATTAATGAAGGAATTAATATAGAAGGCAAATAAATAGGTAGAATCAAGATTCAGCTCCTGAACTTTAAGTTCCACCACAAGTTTGACAAGCCATAGCGACAATATCTAGTCTCAAACTTGCTTACCACTTTTTTACAAGGTTCAGAGAATATGGCTAAATAATCAGATCCAGTACAACCTAACGTTACCCCTTAACCCCCTAATAGGTAAAATGATATTTAATGTCTGATCTCAAGATAAGAAATGGACGCATAATCAGAATAGAGTAATGCTAAGGGCACCAACTCAAATCCCAACTCTGGTGTACCAACTCATGTGGCATGAGAGTTGTCACTTGTAAATTGGTGGGTGTTTAAAACGTCGCCACGTCAATTAATGATAAGATATTGCATTTATAGTTTGGTGTCCCTATCATTATTCATCATGAATATTCGTGTCTTTAAATCATGTTAGTAATACTAATTTTGTTATGTGTGTTAGCATGGAATCACTAAGAAAAATAACATGTCTACTGTATGAAAGAGTCAAATTACCCTTAGACCCAAAAGTTTTCGTGTTTCAGGATCAAGAGTTCCTGGCTTCAGACCATCATACTTTCCAGCTGGAGAATTCTGATAATATCGAGTTGGATTACGTGAACTGGGATTCTGGTTTCGCTTCGACTTAAGCTGTTTGCGAGCATTGTTGACAGCCACATTATCGCGAGGCTTTGGGCATTCCTTCAAAGCATGATTGTAAGAACCACAATTAAAACAACGGACAGCATCTTCTACAATCTCCAAGCCTCTAAAAAGTTCAAGGAGGAAATGTTAATTAGCAGGATATAAAACCTGTAATAAGTATTATAAAAGCAACCAACATATTTAAGTAAAAGAAATGCTTAACAGAAACATGTAAATGGAGAATTTCATCGTTGCCAAATTAATCAAGCAAGGGACTTGTATTTACAAAAGCTAAATCCCTCATAGTCACTACAGCGACTAATGCTTGATTTATCTAAAAGCATGTCCCAGAAAATTTGAATCTACATATGCAGAAGCATGTATCAGGAATTTTCTTGTACTTCTGTGAAACATGCATCTTATATTAACATACCCAAAATACATAACAGTCTTAATTCTTTTACTAATTATCCTAGTTGATATCTGTTACATTTAATGTTGTCTTATTATTACTTTCTACAGTAGGAAACGAGGGTTTACCCTTCCACATTGCTGGAACCACCATCTGATGTCAAACCCAATGCAAATCCACGATCATATAGCGGCACAGAGTTACAATCCAAGGGACTCAATTCATTGTTCTGTTGCTTCCCTGTTTGCTTGTCAATCCAGAAAGGCTGCAAGGACAACAGGACTTAGAGCAATTTGGTGATTATAAAAGCTCATAAATGCAGCAGAAGGTATGAGTTGGTGTTTGGTGGAAGGTTGACACTAGAGGATGTGATTTAGGAGTGAATATATCGCCTACATCCTCCCACACCCTCCCACACATACACACAATCACGCAGAAATGGAGAAAAATGAAAACACCAACCAATGAAGCTAACAATAATAGAGGAAACCAAAATACAAAATGAGCCTATTCTTTTGGGTTATAGCCTTCCAGGAAAAGATCCAAAGAGAAGAATTCAGTTCCAAAAGAAGAGTTTGTTTGTTTGTTTTTTGTTTGATTTTTGTTTTTTGTTTTTGTTTTTTGAAACAAGAAACTGTATCAATGATCAAAATTTAAATATAGATTCCAAAAGGAAAGATATAAGCAATAAAAAATTGTTAGGAAGTCTAAACGACAAACTTGAAGAGATCCTCCTGAAAAGATGGATGAATGGATGGTAGCGTAGTCCTTGTAAAATATTGGCTTCTTGTTTCCCCAAAATGATACGCGCCAATCACAAGGTTACATTCTCCAAGAAAGCATCCTATATTAAAATCTATTTTTGTAGCACGAGTAGGACCAAGCATACAAAGTGGAAACTCACCACCGATGATGCTTTCTCCAAGCCAATATGTAAAGCAGAAAAGTATGTCTCTTCACCAGATTCTAGTGCCTCAGGAGGATCCTGAACCAATGTATTTCAAGTAGTTTAAATGTTTAATCAGAGTTCAGAAACTCAGAACAGCTAAAGAAAAACAATAACTATATTGATTGCATGAAAAAGCAAACATTTGATCAAGTCAATTGGTAAAAATGTAGAAAACCTGCTTTTGATTTCGTCAGTAAAGATCAATTCTTATCAAGATAAAAGACACTAAAGAAAACTACAGCCTTAAATCAGTGAAGGGTTTGAGGAGATAATACATAGAAAGAACAGATGGCCATGTAATCACCAAAACAAGCAAAATTTATAAGAGAGAACACAGGTCCACGTAAGCTTAGTTTAGTGAGAAGAGAGAGCTGTCTTTCAACCTCAAAAGTGAACTAAATGTATACACTTTTCAGATACCTTTAATTCTTGCATTGGCCCCAATAAAAATTGCTCCAGTAAGCACAAATAATGCAATTGTCATTCTAAACAAGACAGCATATTGAGAACGGATAGAATTACTGAATAAACCTTACCTGGGATGAGGAATGGTGTTGAGCTTGCCACTCTGACCACTGCTGCATTAGCTCTTCCAGCTTATATTTACTAGATCTTAAAAGAGCAAGAGTTTCTTAGAAATTAACTAAGGAAAAAGTTATCCCAGTTTTCAAAGAATTATTTTTATTAATAAATCCTAATGTAAAACAAACTGATTTAAGGTGATATATAAAATTCAAAGCAAAAGCCTTTTTAAGCTATACTGCTTAATCCCACCAACCTTGTTAAGAAATTAAATTTGACACATACTGAAGGTTGTTGTTCTTCAAACATCACCCGGGATCTCTTGACACCTGAAATGGCTGCACATTTTGAATTATGGAAAAGACAAATTCACAGAAGAAGGCATACCTAATATATTTTATATTAGAATAACCAGTTGGTCTATTAGGAAACCATTTAAGTTGTAATCCTGTTGAGGTAGACAACCCATCTGCACAAACTTTCAAAATCTTCTATGCGGGATAAAGCTGGAGATTACAAAAGAAAACCTCACTATAATTTACGAGGCAAAGGATACAATAGCCCTCTCTCTTTTTGGTCCTAATGGAAATCTTATCTTGGACAGCAACACGACCAATTTCACAACCAAATGTAGTCTTCGATGCCTCTGCAACTGCAGCAGTGTCAGTCAAGTTGACATTCACTTGCAAGAGGGATGAATTGTCAGCCAAATCCTTTTCTTGGATTGCTTTTAGTTTCCAAGTACCATCTTCACGTTGAGCACCATCCATGTTGGAAACAAGATTTTCACTTGTTGTTTTCATGTCTTTATCTGCCAGAGTTACAGATTGAGAACCAGCTTGTCTAGGGTCATTACTAAAACTATCAATCCCATTATTCTCAAGTCCATAGCCAGCAGCTGTCAAAACAGGGACTCCGTTCAAATCCTCAATTTCCATGTCTGAATCACCATTAATCAAATCCTTTTCAGGATCCGCTTCTTTCAGCCGGATGCGATTTTTATCTTCAATGTCACTCTTGTGGCATATGTCTTCATTGTCGAGTGTATCTTCTTTATCCTTGGAACTACTACCTTGAGAATCAACTTCAATATGCTCCTTATCAAAATTATCACCACCTCCATTCTCACAGGCGGGATCATCAGAATCAAGGAGGACAATAAAATTCTCAGCTTCCATATGTAAGCAAAGAAGAATCTTCAAACGGGTAAACTAAACAAACCCCGGAAATCACTCTGCACAATGCACATTGTGACCAAACATCAGAAAACCAGAAAACAAATCACAACAATGGTCATGACTATTGCCAAATCACTTCTAGAGCATAAAAAAGTACATTTATACAATATTATATTCACGAGACTAAACGAAAGAGATTCCATTTGTACGTGTCTGTTTAATCGATAATCATAACCCATTTGAGTGCTAAGCATAGGAGTAATTCTTAAACCTGGATTACACAAAAATTACCTCTAGATATTTGAATAAGTGAACGTGAATAAGAAAGACAACTCATCAAACATCACTAAATTTGAAATTTTTATAGTTCCGAGTTCAATTTTCAAACAATTGACACTAGTAACTAACCACAGAAAAAAAAAAAGTTATTTATTACGGCATTCATTTCTTCAAATTAAGCCAGCAGTCATAGCCTAAGTCGAATTTTCTTTCATTTCTTTCCTCTCCTCGCATTTTCTAACCAACCAAACAACAAATCAACGGACGACAGGACAAGACAAGAAAGAAAAATTGGCGGTCATTTCGCGTTTTTGACAGCAAGAAAAGAAAGAAACGAAGCAAGAAACAAGAATACTACCCAAGCTAATCGAGTCAAGCAAGGGACAAAGTATCACAAATTCACATGCTACTTTCTTTCTTTCTTGAAGTTCAGCAACAGCATAAAGAACAAATCAAGCTAATAAGACGACTGTTTGGCCGGCGTCAAAGTGCAGGAAAGCTAAAGAGAAAATGATGTTTACCTTTCTCGGAGGTCGAGGGAAGTGGAATTAGGGTTTAGGAGCAGAGAATAGCTTGAATTGGATATTCCTTGTTGATTAGGAAAGAAATGAGGAGCTGAATCGTCGAAGCCATTACTCAAGGGATCAGATTTACAGGGGAAAGCGGGCGGGGGAGATCAAGATTGCGTGCAATGCGGCGCAGGTTAAGCTCCCCTAGGTTATCGAACTTGTCTCAGCCAGCCAATTCTCAAATCTCGATACAATAATAGGAAAGCCTTATTTTTATTTTTCAAAAAAAAAAAAAGATTCTTTCTCTGACTCTCTCTTTTAATACTTATGTCCAATTATTATTTGACGGCTGTACGGGTCTCTTTCCTCATTTGATTTTGAATTTTTATTATTTTTTTTTCTTTTTTGAGCTTGAGTGGAAGATTCAAATTCTAAAGTTTAAGTTGGAGTAGATTGTGAACCCGTTTAGTTCGTTGATTTGAGTTTTTAATTTAAATTGAGATGTGATTTTATGTGAGAATTTTTTACTGTAGTAAAAAAGTTAGCTGTGATTGTTTATGAGAGCTTTTTACTATAGTAAAATTTGAATTCTAAACTTAAATTAGTGAAATGAACGTAGTCTGTATTTATAACTACGATTTGATTTGAATTTTTATTATTATTGTTTATCTTTTGAGGATTTTTTTAGTAGGCACCAAAATAAAGAATTTTAAAGGGTTCGTTTAGTACGAGGATTTAAACCAGAGTCATTCTAATTATGATTCTGAAATTAGAATTTGATTAATGATTTTAGGTTCAAATCATGATTCAGAATCAGATGTTTGAATCACCTTGAATCAAGATGGTGGTGGTTTTAGAATCATGAGTGGTTCTAGTTTAAAACATCACATCAGATTCTGAATCATGATTCAGAATCATCCAAACCAAACACTGATTCTGAATCATGATTTAGAATCACTGTAAACAAACACTGATTCTGAATCAGGATCTAAAATCATGAAACTGGATCCATCTACCAAACGAACCCTAAAAATATTCTGTTGTCTAATCTACATCTACAAATGTATATTCTACATATTTTTTAACGTGATTTGGTTTTAATCAGATTCAATTGTTATAAACTGGTCTTATTAATAAGGCTTGAAAGATTATTTTTTAGGGTTATTAAGCATCTCCAAGAGAACATTATAAATTTTTTAAAATTTTAACTAGAAAGCTATTTTAACTAACAATTTTTAAGTAATTCATTCCGATAATATTTTTTTATTTTAACTAAATATAGATTATTTTATTATTTATTAAATTTAAAATATAAAAAATCTTATTGAATTTAAAAAATAACTCATTTATTACAGTTGCAAGAATAAAACAATAAAAAAAAATTATATAGCTAGCTTTTTTATGCTAACTATATTTAGCTAGTGTGAAAGACATTCTTTAAAATGACTAATCATTTAAGAGATGTTTGTTTCTTGTATTTGTCATTGATTCTAAATTATAATTTATAGCTTTCTACAGTATTTTTCTCTCATAAAAAACACACGTAAAATGAAAATAATTCTAAATCATGATTCTGAATCTACGAACCAAACGTCCTCTTAATAACTAATGATTGGAGTGAAAAAGAGTAAAAAAAACTAAATTATTAATTATTTTAATTAAAAACATAAAATGACAAGCATTGTTGGAATTGCTTTTTGTTCTTTGTTATTTTTTATCACTCATGTTCCAATCAGCTGAATGTTTTTACAAAATAGTTAAGCAAAATGTTTTCTTCATTTTGTAAAAAATTCTTAAAAACTATAACATTTTACATTTAAGGTCATTATTTTCATTAAAAAAAAATCAATTACTATGTGAGTTAGACGTGCTTATTTTTTTTTAAAATTTTTAAAAATCATTAGCCTAAATTGTTAAGGACTAAACTACAAAAAATCAAAATTCAAAGAGTGATTTATTAAAATTAATTAAAGACTAATGTGACACAATGCTCATAAAAGCAAGGACTCGTAAGGGTATAATTTTATTGTTTTATAATTCCGTTGGTATGATCAGCAAAATAAGTTGGTATTTTCAGAATGTTTTTGTCGTCTTTTGAGTTATATGTCGTTCTAATGTGTGTGTGCCGTTTTTTGAATTTCTGGGGAGTGGTGTCATCGGCTCAAACCATTATCACTTTCTGTCGCTTTTAGCATTTGCTGTCGTGTTTTACCTGGTTTTAATTTGTAATATCACTGTCCTTTTAATTAGATGTTATTCACTGAACTTTAGTAGACGTTTAGTTCATAGATTAAAATTATTTTCAATTTATGTGTATTTTTTGTGAGAGAAAACACTGTAGTAAACCATACACTATGATTTGAATCAGGGTACGAATCCCCTACCAAATTAAAAAAAATCTGTTGTTTCTTGATGACATTGAACCTACTATAAACAAGTTGGTAAATTAAAAGTCTCATGTTTGAGTTCCATAAGAAATATTTTCTACTCAGTGTTTAGGGCTGTTTATGGGTTGAGTTGGTACGGGATAAGGTTTTTTTTTTATCCCGTCCCAAAGGGTGCGGGTTATACATATTTGGCCTCAACTGTAACACTGCCTTATCATATAACATATAGATGTAGAAGAATTCACATGTAAGTGGACATGTGTCGAGATAAGGAAAGAAAAAAAAGTTCAAATTTTCTTCTAAGTGGACACGTGTCAAGATAAGGAAAGAAGAAAAGTTTAAAATTTCTTCTAAGTGGACACTTGTCGAGATAAAAAAAAAAAAAAAAGTTCAAATTGTCTTTTGAAAGACACTTGTCAAGTAGATGGACACTTGGAATTTGATCAATGGCCAAGATTTAGCTAAACACTTTTGATCCAATGGTAGATATTAGATATGGAATCAATGGCTAGGATCTATCCACATAAGCTTTGATCCAAGGGCTAGAATGTAAGATGACATACTATAAATAGGTGATGGATTCATTCCATCATTCATATGGAGGAAGCTAGAGAGAGAAAGTTAGTGAGATAGAGATAAAGAGAAAATAGAAAGACAAAAAGAAAGTGAGAGGAAACTGAGAGAAGGATTTTCCTCTTCACCAACAAATTTGTAAGTAGACTTTCCACTGCATCACTTGATCAGTAGTGCATGAAAGTTTTCAGTTTATTGCCAGTTTATATATATTTGACATGTTTTCATGAGATTTAGAAAGTGTTTTAGTTTTCAGAATATGATATGAATCTTGTGTTATTTACGAATCGACTCAGTTAGTAAAAGGGTCAAATCCTTAAGGAACAAGAGATTTCGAGACAGGGGCCACCAAATAGAAGATAAAGAGGTTCTAATAACACAAGATGAATGTCAGACACAAGGGCCCTAAAAGTTTAAAGAAAAATATTTTCAAAGTGGAAATTATTTTATGGTTTACTTACTGAGCTTTAGCTCATATAGTTCTCGTAATGCAGGTAAGCTCTCAGTAGAAGTTCCAGTTGACTGAGCAAGAGCGTCAAGTTCCATGACGAGTTTAAGTTAAGAGATCTTAAGTTATTAAATTTGTAAATTTAGGAATTTGTTCAAGGATTGTACTTAATATAGAGATTATTTCTCTATTTAAGCAGTAATATAGTAAAGTAAGTTAACGTTTCTCTCAAGTTGGCGTAGTTCTTAGTTGCTGGCTCAGGAGGGGCGTTACATTTTGGTATCAGAGCCATACGTTTCTGGAGACATAGTAGAGTAGACATGTCATGATACCAAGAACTCAGTCAACCTAGGAATCATGTTTTGAGGAATAGTTAAGATTTTTAATTATTTTATGATAGTTGTTCAGTTGGAGAAATTAGAATATTTAAATTTCGAGGACGAAATTTTTATAAAGAGGAGAGATTGTAACACCTGCCTTATCAGATAACATATATATGCAGAAGAATTCACATGTAAGTGGACATGTGTCGAGATAAGGAAAGAAAAAAGTTCAAATTTTCTTCTAAGTGGACACGTGTCAAGATAAAGAAAGAAGAAAAGTTCAAATTTTCTTCTAAGTGGACACTTGTCGAGATAAAAAAAGAAGAAAAGTTCAAATTATCTTTTGAAAGACACTTGTCAAGTAGATGGACACTTGAAATTTGATCAATGGCCAAGATTTAGCCAAACACTTGTGATCCAATGGTAGATATTAGATATGGAATCAATGGCTAGGATCTATCCACATAAGCTTTGATCCAAGGGCTAGAATGTAAGATGACATACTATAAATAAGTGATGGATTCATTCCATCCTTCATATGGAGGAAGCTAGAGAGAGAAAGTTGGCGAGATAGAGATAAAGAGAAAATAGAAAGATAGAAAGAAAGTGAGAGGAAACTGAGAGAAGGATTTTCCTCTTCACCAGTAAATTTGTAAGTAGACTTTCCACTGCATCACTTGATCAGTAGTACATGAAAGTTTTCAGTTTATTGCCAATTTATATATATTTGACATGTTTTCATGAGATTTAGAAAGTGTTTTAGTTTTCAGAATATGATATGAATCTTGTGTTAATTACGAATTGACTCAGTTAGTAAAAAGGGTTAAATCCTTGAGGAACAAGAGATTCCGAGACAGAAGCCACCAGATAGAAGATAAAAAGGTTCTAATAACACAAGATGAATGTCAGACACAAGGGCCCTAAAAGTTTAAAGAAAAATATTTTTAAAGTGGAAATTATTTTACGGTTTACTTACTGAGCTTTAGCTCATATAGTTCTCGTGATGCAGGTAAGCTCTCAGTAGAAGTTCCAGTTGACTGAGCAAGAGCGGTTCAAGTCCCATGACGAGTTTAAGTTAAGAGATCTTAAGTTATTAAATTTGTAAATTTAAGAATTTGTTCGAGGATTGTACTTGATATAGAGATTATTTCTCTATTTAAGCAGTAATATAGCAAAGTAAGCTAACATTTCTCTCAAGTTGGCATAGTTCTTAGTTGCTGGCTCGGGAGGGACGTTACATCAACGATGTTAGAAAAATTTCACAACCCAATAATGTTTGGGTTGGGTTAGGGCGGTGCGGGGTGAGTTGGGTAGTCAATTTTAACATTTAAAGAATCAAAGACACAAAGTTCAATCCAACATCAAACATGAAGCAAAGTAGTCCATCCAACATTAAACATAAAGCAAACATAAATTAGTCTACCCTCATAAATTAGTCTTAAAATAAAGCAAATATAGAGGCTTAATTCAAACATGAAGAAACTAGAGAGTAGAAATGATTTGCCTGCCTAGGGTTAGATATTAGAAGAGGTAACTTAGAGCGCGGGTTGGGTTGGAGTGTGCATGCTATTATAGGCCCAACCCATACCCCACCCCAAAACTTCAGGCCCGACATTGAATGAGCTGTAAAAAAAATTTAATACTAGAAATTACATTTTTCGGGTTGGGTTGGGATGGGGTGGATTGGGCCTGCGGGTTTTGTGGGTTTATGAATAGCCCTATCAGTGTTAATTAGTTCTTGATGGAGTTAAAATGATAGTATTTCATCTCTTAACAGACGTAGTTATGATTTAATGTAGAAATGATGTCATTTATTATTTTTTTTAAAATAAAATAATAAAGTACATGCACAATCTTTTCTAGTATTAGACAAAGCAAGTCTAGCATGAAATTCTGATGAGGATGAGCATCATGTCAATGGTTAGTCCACAAGGAATGATTGAGTTCTCTGTCCAAATTTAGTGTTTAAAATAAGGTATAACCAACCATTCGCCATACAATGGCCAGGTGAATGGCTCTATATCATTGTGGTCAAGGCGGGGCACATCACAACAACAACCTTGAGCATAGGGGCAGCAACAAATCATGGTGAGTGGCGGGCGACGACAAGGCTATGTGGTCTAGTGGGGTGCGGGTAATAAAGACTGTATGGTTGGCGGTGGTGGGCAGGGATGGCATGAGATTGGGGCAAGAGAAGTGGGGAACCTTTATAATTTGGTGCAAGTTGTAGTGACCAAGAAAATCCCAGAATTTAAATAATGCGATTTATGTATTTAAGTCAAGAATTTTTCCTGGAAAAAAATATATATTATGTTATATTTTGTGAATGAAGGATTTATGGAATTAACATCTGTATTCCTAAATTCTGTAGCAGATTTCATGCTAAGATCATGTTTTGCGATCAAGTAAATTCGATCGAAAAATTCTCACCGTAATTTAAAACGAAAGAATTTCCAGTGCATATACAGTTTGAGAATCTCAATTCCAAGAATCTCCAAACACAGTACGAACTAGTATCCAGTACACATACCGGAGAAAATAACTGTCAGTATAATTTTAAACAGTTTCAAAGAGAAACTTAAGAGAGTGGACAAAAGTACAAGGGGTAGTTGACATTTTTCTCTCTCTCCTTCTCCACTTGGCCGGCCATGCATAGTAAAATTAGAGCCAAATTTTGGCTAGTTAAGTGTGCTAGAAGGATTCATGTTAAGGTGGGATGTGATGGTAGTGGTTGAAGGGGAAATCATGGCATGCTTGCTCCATCTTTTTTGCACCTAGAACCGGCCAAGAATGGGGGATTTGAACCAAAAATTTGGTTGACTAATGGAGTGAAATTGGGGTTAAAAAATGATCACAAACTTGTCTATAAAAGGAACCATCACAGGATAAGTCTCATTTTTTTCTCCTTGCTTTTCTCTCCACCTCAAAACCGGCCACACTCCACCATACTCTCTCAAAAAATTTCTCTCACTCTCCTAACCTTAAGCCCCTAGCAAACAATAGAAGAGGAAGAAGGAGATCAAAGAATTCTAGGAGGAGTCTAGTCAAGCATTTCTCCAAGGGTATAAACTCTAAATCCTTTCTTTCTCATGTTTTAGTAAAGTTTGAAATGTAGGAATATTCTTCTCAAATTTCCTTATACTCTTCTAGTTCCAAGCCATTAACAAATCTTAGAGGAGTTCAAAGGTTTTCAAGAGAGAGAGTTCTTCAAGGGTAAGTTCTTAAACTCTTCTCCATTATTTTTCTAGCCAACCTTAAGCTTGAATTTATGGATGTAATTTGTGGTTCTTGAGGAGATAAATTGTAATAAGGGTGTGTGAGTTTTATGTTGGTTTTGTGTGTTTTGAGGTTAGTTTGATGTGGTATGCTTATGCTTGATTTAAGTTGCTTATTTTGGGTTGGAGGAAAAATTTTCCGGTTACTTTGAACGCGAAAACGAGGACCCTAGAGTGAGATTTTTTGGTGTTTTAAAGCTTCAACTTATAGCTCTCGATATTTTGAACATTTTTTTTGTGAATGTGAAACTCAACTTTAACTCTAAAAGCAAGTTTGAAGCTATTTTGCAAAAAATGGACAGGCTGTCCAAAACAATTTTAAAAAAAACTGGCAGCCACTGGTTCAGCCAAACGAGACCATTAGAGGTTGAATCTCAGTTTTCTCTAAAAATGACAATTTTAGATCTCGACGAGACGAAGAATTGTCATGAAGAACAAATTTTTAAAATCCGACCCTAAGATGTAGTAAAATACAGATTTCTGAAAACTGCACAGTTTTTAACTAAAACAGTTTCAAGAAAAACAGCAGCCACTGTTTTCAGCCAAACGAGGCCTTTAGATGCTGAATTTCAACTTTCTCCAAAAATAACAATTTTAGATCTCGACGAGATGAAAAATTATCACGCAGAACAAATATTTGAAATCCGACTCAAAGATGCAGCAAAATACAGATTTCAGAAACTGCACAGTTTTTAACAAAACAAAACTAAAACAGTGTCGGTTTTAACAAAAAGTCATCAAAGAACCCGAGATGGGATTTCAGTAAAATACAATGGTATTAAACCTCATTTTAATGGAAATATTTGTATGGAAAGTTTTCAAGAAAATAATTCCTTTTAAAGAACTTAGAGGTTTATCAAGCAAATCATTCCGACGGGCACATACGAGCCTAATACGATAGGTCCGTAGAATTTTGAAGATTTCATGTCGGTCCAACGCCCGCATTAATGTAAGAGACTCCGTTGGAGTATAAATTTCAGCGGCTTAAGAATTAGAATGCATGTATAAGTTCTAGGCCGAATTGGGCCTTAATATCATAACAAGGCCATTAATGAAAATATGATTTTGAGGATTTGATAAATTGATCCTTACTATCCTTAGTAAAAGAGAGGAATGCATGCCTTAAGGAAAGAGTTAGATTTTCCTTTATAAGTTGCTAAAATAGAATAGCAAACGACAAGTTAATCTCACACACTCAATAGGTGTTCATTTTCAGAAGTAAGCAAGTAAGACACTAGGCTGTTTGGCGAGAAGTAAATTTCAGCCCTGTAAATCAGGTAAGTAGGAATCTCGCCTACAGTATAAATAGATTTTAAAGTAAACACTACACATGAATTATATATGTTTGAGTCCATTCAATGTTATGTATGCTATGCTATCTTATACTACATACACTTAAGCAGTATGCATGAATTATATGTGTTCGAGTACATTTCATGTTATAGTATGCTATGCTAGGTCATATTGTGTACACCTTAATAAGCCAAGAGGAACTTATAAGAATAATTTCAGTTGAGTGCCGTACCAGCCTCCGCAAGGGAGGTAACTCAAGCTCCGCAAGGGAGAAAAGAAAGAACAAAATAATAATAATAATGTCCTCCGCAAGGGAGGTATTCAGTTCAGTTATAATCACGGGGTCGTGGGGGACCTTGCAAACCCTCACGTCCCGATGATTGCGCACAAGTAGTACGAGCACTCGGGCCCAAAAAAAAGATAAGATAAGATAATAAGATTCTGATAAGATATCATAATTAAGCATAATTGGCTCATGCATACTTATTCATGTGAACTTACAGTTATTTTGCGAGAGGTAGTTCCTACTTGCTGAGCGAAAGCTCATTATAGAATGTTTATACTATAGGTAAGCAACCAACATATAATGCCTTACGGACTGACAGGGAGTGGACGAACGATGTGGAGATCGGGAAATGGATACCGCTCGTAAATATTTCCGCAATCAGTTTTATGTTACAAATAGTTTTGCTAATTATGATTCTGAAACTATATGTTAAATGGTTTTGTGGATTATGGCTATTAGTAAGCAGGACTTAAAGAGTAGGTATATACATATAGATATATTTATATGCGTTGGGAAACATACATGTTAAGGTTTGAATATTTTAATTAAGAAAGCAATTCGTAACTTATGCCTACTAAAAGATTTAAAAAAAAATGTTTCGTAAATTTTAAGAAATTTCAGTAAGTACAAGTTAAATTTCAGCTACAGTGGCGGCCTCCTAGGAGGGTTGTCACACAAGTAGAGTTACAAGTTTGAGCCGGACTAAATGGACTGACCTGAGGCACGTCATTGTTTGTCCGGGCCTAGTCAGCTCGGTCCCAAAGGGTTTTGAGTTTGAAAACTTATTTAGGCCAACCCAAATGCCCTCTTTTATTTTTATTTTTAAAAATACTTTATAAAATTTCGGGCCGATACTAGGCCTGTTGGGCTTTAGAGTCAAGTTAGAACGACCCTTTCCCCTTTAAGGTTGGGCTGACCTGACTCCCATTCAAGCTCCCGGGTTGGGCGACTTGAACTTAACCTCTAGGTGCAAGGATTAATAATCCTGTGATTTTTAGGGAGTACTAATCCTACAAAGTTTGACTATTTTTAAATCAGAGGATAGTTTATTAAAGTTAGACTATTTTTAATCCGCGGATAGTTTATTTAGTCAAATATTGTCACTAAACACGAGATTAGAATTATTTATCTTAATTCTAGTCTTAATCCAACGATACTTCAAAAAATACTTTTGAGGATATTTAATAAACACTACAATAAACTTTTACTATAAGTAGAAGTTGATTTTAAGAGCGAAAAGTAATACCAAATGCAACCTAAGTCTCAAGATAAAAATCATTTTGGTATACGACTTTTTGCAATTATTATAAAGGTATTATGTGTTTTTTACAACATTAAAGTGGTACACTCACATTTTAGGAAAAAAAAGTCATTTTTGATATCTTAAAGGCAATTTATTTATTATTATTATATTATTATTTACATTAAATGCCCTTTATACCGTTTTTTATTTTTTGTTTGACTGGTAAAAGTATCGACAACTGTTATCCTTGCCGTTTGTCCTACTGATGTCGTTTTAGTTGGCTACATGATCTGATTTTCTATCAGAAGAACAAGAACACAGTTTAGTGTAATTTCCATGGTAGTATGTCTAAAACGACCTCAAAAAATTAATCTCTCACAAGTCGCTAACTAGTTGAGGACAAAGCCTTTCTCCTTTTCAACGACAAGCTCCTACTTCCATGAACATTCTCATTTCCAACCACTGCCATCTGAATTCCACTTGAGCTCGAGGTTGGCTCCGAAGGACTTCTCCGAATCCCCCTTTCGAAAATCCCGCCATTCTCGTCACTTGAACTATCCTCTGCTTCTTCAATAGCTGCTTTTGCTTTTGCCTTTTCTAGCTCCTCTCCGTCCAAATCCGAGCTAGTTTCATCATCAGCGCCGCTATCTTCGGACGATGTATCGCTCAGTGTGTGGAAGATTGTCACTCTCTCTTTCTTTGAGCCTTGAAAAGAGAAGCTCCTATTTTTTCCATTATACAATGGAAGTAGAGATCTTGATCTTGACCTTGTTCTTGAGCTAGTTTTGTCTCTCCCCAAACTGTATGTAGACGAGAGCTTCCTCTCTATCCCTTCCCTTTCTCGCACCAAATCGCCCAATTTCTCGAGTACTTCGTCGTCCGCTGCTTCTTCTCCAGCCGTGCTTTGTAGATCTGTGATAGTCCTGTCGAATGATTTCTTCTTGAGTTGGAGAGATCGCTGAGACGACACAAAAGATGTAAGGAAAAAAAAAAAAATTGATTACAATGTGATGGTGAATAATGGTATGTTTGTTCAAAGCAAGAGCTAATCCCTGAAGCTTACTCGTTTGTCAAGAAAGCTACCAAGGTTTTGACCCTGGAGTTTCTTCTTCCTCCAAAATACGCAACAGAACCGCACGAGCCCCGCTAGTACTATCAAGATTGCGGTTTCTAATAGCAGAAACAAGAATATTGCTCTTTCACTCCCTGAAGGTACAAAAGGAACCACAAAGATCAAAATCTTAATCATCTACAGATTATCTCATTGGCATTTGATAGTTGTACTTGTAACTTACCTGTGTAAAGTCTGAGAAGCTTTGGTCTAGATTGAGAGCAGGTGGATATAACTTTCTGACCTGCATAACGTAGAGAATTATATGCAAATAAATGCTATGAGAGAGCTTATTCTCTAGGAAAAAACAGGATTAAGGACTTACGTCTTGAACGGCATGCTAGTTTATTGCCGGTCTCTGAATCAACAAGAAAATGAAATTAAGATCTGTATTCAGTTACTTTAGAGCTAGAGATATTGAAATTCAAAGTGGTATGCCTGTAATTTGTTTAAGTATGGAATCTCACTTGAAGCGGCGAAAAATGCAAGCAGAATCCTTTCGTCGAGTACAAAATGTTGCAAATCGGTGTTGGATAATGAGGGTGAGAGTTCACCTAGAGAACCATTAGTTAGAACAGTGGAGTAAGTAGAGAAAATTTAGAGATATAGTAGTCACAATCAGTATAAGAAAACTGAAAATTTGAATTACCAAGATTGGTTTCAGACCAGTATATGGATCCGGTTGCTGGGACGAATAAGGTGAAGATCACACTTTTGGGTTTCAATGCTGAGACATAAGTATATTCTCCTATGATATGGCTAATCTTCCCTTCCATTTCTGTCTGAGAAATATAAATTGCATAGCCAGAGCAATCAAGGACTGGACTAACTTGGATCACAGAATCTGAGGCCCTTGCTTTAGAGAATTTCTTGAGAACCCCACTCGGTGAAAATGAATATAGGAAACCGTCCAATGAACCAATGGATACCCAACCTTGTATACCAGTTTGAGTGGCAGAAAAGTGAGTCAAGTCACTATTTTGTTTTAGGCAAAAGAAAGGGAACAACTGACCTAATACCAAGCCACCACTTAATTTATTCAAAAAAAAAAAAAACAGCAAAAAAAAAAAAAAAAAAGAAATAGCTTGAGGGTTGCGAAAAATAAATAGTTAGAAAAGGCTTACAAACTCGAAATAAGAAAAGACAACATAAGTTGATTGAAGTTTCTAAGGTAAAAGATCTACTCTTCTACACAAGTCAGTTCACTATGATCAAGCAATAGAAGGTAAAAATCTTCAAAACTAGACAAGGCCATGTTGCCTTTATGGAGAACAAAAGTTTTAGAACAAGAAATTCAGTGGGTTAAGGTAATGATATCCAAGTATATGGACTGCTCAAAGAAAATAAGATTAATTCTTTTTTAGATAAAATACTTCATGAGCATAAAGTTACCATTAGAATCAACAACTGGTGAAGAGTCTTCTGAACTTAACGGCCCAATACTTCCTTGCCAGAGCACATTTCCCGTCAAAACATCGAGTGCCAGCAGAAGAGCCCTGGCTGGCACAACAACATACAAACGGCCATTGTTTCCGGGAGTGACAGTGAAAACCCTGTCAAACATACTAAAGTCCTGTATCCACTTAAAGTGAGGACTGTGGATCGACAAAGAATACAATTCTCCTTCAGTATTTGGAATCTGTGGCAAAATCATAATCAGCAAAAGGGTAAAAAAAAAAAAGGAAATAAGTAAGAAAATCAAAGAGTAGCCAAAACCTTACATAAATAGTAGCCTCACATTGATCAATCACAGGGACTGATATGAAATGACAATCTGTCTCATTTTTCCTACAACCCTGGCGGTAACCGAATTGATTGAGCACAGGTCCAGCACTCCACAGCAGTTGCCCGTGCATCGTGTAGGCGAAGAGCCCCTGACCTTTAATGTTGACAAATATCGAAGAACTCAATGTGCTAACCGAGATCCCAATTACCTCACCTTTTCCTTCTTTATCTGGTGGTTGGAAACTAAGGAAAACCTCTAAAGCTGGTTCAGAGGTTCCATTGTTTAACAAGTTTATCTTTAGTATTCTGTTCTCTGCAGCCACAAAAATCTGCCAGCCAAATACTTCCAAGTATTTATGACTAACGAAGGTTGTTGAAAAAAAAAAGGTGACATTTTTGAATAAATATGAAGAGTACACAAAGAAATCACAGAGGGAAAAATATTTTATCTGTCTACATATGGCCTGCAATTGCTCAATGTATTAAAGACAAGTACGCTAACATATAGAAAATCTGCTAAAAGAGCAAAAAATTCAAGAAAATGGTGTACCTTTTCTCTTCCACCATAAACTGGGGCCATGTCAGCATTGCATGTGTGATTCGAATGTATGATCCAAGCAATGGAACCATTACTTTCAAACGCAACAAAATCTTTCTCGGAACAAGCATAAATCCTTCCATTATTTCCAATTAGAGGTTTTGAAAGTCTACGAGAAAATTTTCTTGATGACCCTTCAGCTGCAAAATGGGATTCATTAGAAAATGCCAAAAACTTTAAATTAAAATAAAAAAGAGCGCTTTTGGCTGAAATTGAATCCTGGACATCTTAAGAGGGTGAAATTCGAATGCCCCCATTTCACAAAACGTCATGACGAATTAAAGCCACTAACAAGCTTAATGCTAATATTTCTAGAGAAGTTAGACATAAAAAAACATGAATCAACTGTGATGTCACATAGAGAGAATTGATTGAACTAGAGACCTGAAAATAAGCGAGAATCCACTGGGTATTTCTGCAATTTTTTGGGCTGAAGATTTATAGAAGACAAAGGAACAACCATTAAGGAGAAGAAAAGAACTTGGATTATTGTCATTGCAAAATAACAAGAAAAGAAAAGAAAAAAAAAAACACTTCTCAATAACTTGGATTTTTGTCTGTCCGAGAGTAACGCTTCCAAAAGGCCTTGGTTTCAAAAAGTACAACGGTTAAATAACCGCTAAGCACGTAGGTGGCGGGAACCGACCCACCACGGGCTTCTTGGGTTATGTTTTCTGGGCCAAGCCCATGTATTATATGGTTATTGGGCTTCAGAATTTTGGCCCAAGCAGTACCTTTGACCCCTATGAACGAAGGACCGTAGTCTAGAACAGGCGTCTCTGGCGCAAAGCCCTTTGGGTTAGGGTTTATGCTCGATCTTTGGGATCTGAAGATTGGGAAAACCTTTCTCCGATTAACCATCAACAGCTTATGATTCGTGCTTTTCATTCGAGATCTCCTTGGCAATAGCAGGTAAATCATTTCACGTCTTCTTTTTCTTTTTCGGGAGATTCATCGTTTGAAAATTGAAATTCCTTGAGGTAATGTAATTTTAGAAATTCGTTTGTTTGCATTTTCTGAATCAAACAATCGATTCCATTCTAAACTTGTTCTTGATCCAATTTTGAACAGCATTTTTCGGTGAACAAATTCGCTTGTTTTAATCATGTTCTGCTTTTGAGTCTGTTATTTTTTGTCAAATTATGTCTTTAGCTTAGGCAAAAAGTTTATGTATTTTTTAGGCAAAAGTTTGGATTTTTGGTTAGCGGGTAGAGATCAAAATTATACTAAATTAATCATGCGTCTGTCTGTTGTGAAACTCTGGTATCATTTGATGTTTCATTCCCAGTTAGCATTAGGAAAAACCCCAAAAAAAAAAAAAAAAGAATTAGGAAAAATCAATCTTCGTTTGATGTTCTAATTACTCCAACAGTTTGTGTCGAATAGAATTGGCAAAGGGAAAAGAAAGGAATGGAGGCTCAACCTAAAGGAGAAGAAGATCAACAGGCCATAAGTCCCAAGGATGTTGGGTGGATGGGAATGTTGGAAGAGAAATATCGAAAAATCAAAGAGCATGCAGAGACTTATCCTTATGTGTGGGCTTCCTACATTCTTGTGTATGGTGGTTTTGGCCTCTACTTTACCTATAGATGGAGGAAGCTTCGACAGATGGAGGACAGGGTTCAGGCTCATATGGAGAGACTGCGCAAGCTTCATGAAGCTGAAGCATCCTCAAGCTCTGGCGCATCGGTTGAAAAGGCACTACCGCCCGCGTCCTCAAGCTCTGGCGCATTAGTTGAAAAGGCGCAACCGCCCGCTAAGGCTCAACCGCCCGCTGATAAGGCTGTCGAATGATGGAATTTATTGCTCCGGGGTTTCGAGATAGATGGTCCTCATTTCATGATGGTTTGAAGAAAAGAGTTGGTAATAGATGTTATTCTTCGAGAAACTTTGTACAGACTTGAGGTCTCGTTATTTTATGCCCATAATTTTGTCAGTTTTGGCGACTTCCTATTTTGACCAGAAGTTAATAGATGATTGTTTTAGCACAAGGAAATGGCTGAATCAGTGCCATGTAATGTTGGTTATGTTATCAAATTGTTGAATGTTGTATAATGCAGCATTGCCATCCCATTTTCAAGTCTTTATTAACTGTGTCTAAACCTCATTATTATTTCCGACAGGAGTCTTCCAATTTTCATGTTACAAGTCTTCTCTGTTTCTAGAGTACGAGTGAGTCAAACGTCAATGGAAAGGGCTAAAAAAAAAAAAAAATCAGTGAAGTTACAAAATTTAGGTAGGTGTAAGAAAGCTAATTAGTGCTGTTCAACATAGTAGAATGGGAAGCTTCCTATGCGTCGTTTATGTATGAATAATGTTACGGACATCAACTCAAATCTCAACTTTTATGTACTAACTAATATAGTGTGTGAGTTATCATCTTTTTATTAGTAGATGTAATCTCTTATTATTGATTAATGTGATAATATTTTAAACACCTGTTAATATAAAAATGATAACTCATGTGCTTCATCTGCTGGTACATAAAAATTAGAATTTGGGTGGGCATTTTTCTTTATATATTAGTTACTTTTATTTCCCTGTTTATTTTGGTTTTATCTTTCTGTCTGAATAATCTAAGTTTATTTCATTTTTCAAGATGAAGAAAGGAACTAGAAGAAACACATGGCAGAAACAAAAACAGGGGAACAAAAGTAAGGCCAAAAACAGGTTCTAGATTTAAACTAGAAGAGGAAAAGTTATGCCCGTAACAAATAGCAACTCTATCTCCAATGAACACTGACTTTATCTCTTCTAGAAAAAAAAAAAAAAAAAAAACACGTAAAAACAGAGTTCATAAAAGGTTATGTGCCTTAGAGGAAGGATAACATTTTCTATGGCGTGTGTGACTAATGAGAATCTACTCTTTTTCTTTGGCAACAATCTACTTTCTTTATTCATATTAAGTTTTCGGTAAATTGAAAATAAATGTCACTGTCAAAAATTATATGTGAAGAGATCCTCATCAGTGCATAAGGAAGGATATTTTTTGATCCTATGAAATCCTGTTGGGCGGACACAATCTGAGTCACCTACTCTTTACATAGCTAACTTTATAAGCTAGGAAGAAAATGCCATTCCTTTGTATTCATGTCTTTCCTTCAGTAAAGTAAAGCTTTTTCTACCCAAAAGAAGAAGAAGAAGACAAAAAAAAAAAAAAAAAGCTCGGAAGAAAATTGGATTGTGACCTTCATCATTCAGAGTTGTCACTGTCTCCTAGTGTTTATCTCGCCAAAACATCAAAGTTTGGTCAAGATAGGATTAGAGATAATCTCCCTTATCTTTACCTTTTCATCCTCTTTCTTTTCTGGCTGATCACGTGAATCACATAATCCTGAATTCCACACATATGGATTTTTCATTAAATATGCTTTATTATATATTCCATTCTAGAGGAAGGGAAATTAATGTAAAATAATTGAAGGGCTAAATTTAAAAAAAAAAAATACAAACGGTAGTAAATAGCATTTTCACGAAATTAAATTAAGTAGATAGTAGATTTTAAAACATTTAAAATAAGTAGTAGTAAAAGGATTTTTTATCACGTAAATGTTCTATTTATGACTCGTAAAAAGAGTTTTTTTTAACACCTAAAATTTTAATTTACTACTATTTATTTTAAATAGTTTAAAATATGCTATTTACTTAAATTATTTACAATAAATATGTTATTTACTTCATCCTCCCTTTAAATAAAATAAAAAGATTATGAACAGTAAAGTTATTAGATAAGTATGTGAATTACTTAACTTGAAATAATTGGAAAAAAAAAAAAATGAATAGTGCACTGAAGAGAAGCTATTACCACACACAAAACAAAATTCAAATATGAAAGCCTATGTTGTTCTATACATTCTCTTGGCTTCCATTCTCTTCTTTCCCTCTTCACTTCTAGCTCGAGAACTCGCTGCGGGTGGTGAGAGTGCAGGTATTAGCACCACTTTCCAGTTTGCTAATATCGTCCGTAACTTAAATAATCAGAGCAATTTTCCATTTTGATTTTCAATAGAACAGCTTTAGCCTTAATTTTTTTAATACGTAGATCTTCAAATGTTGTTACTTAAGAGAATCTCCGATATAATTCTTTCCATGAAAACAAACGTGTTACCAAGGAGCTCTTTAATATTTTTCCTGATTAAGTTTGTTCTGGTTACTTATCTTTGTCTCTCTTATTTTTTTTTTTTCTTCTTTTCTTTTCTTTTAACATTAGCATGTTTTTTGTTCCTCTAATTTGGGTGTCTAAATGTTGCAGCTGGCACAGTGACACCAGAAGCAGGAAACCCTTATAGGCGAACACGGCCGTGCAGCCCGCGTAATCCATTCGGATGCAGAAGGTCACCACCAAATCCTGGTTCTTCATGTAAAAAGTACAAGCGCAATTGCCCACCTAATTCAAGCCCTTGAATTACAGACCAACGATATGCTGTGAAATGTAGTCAGGTCCATGTGACTACTAGTTTTCAGCTACTGCAATAATGTGTCTGCTTAATTAGTAATATAATCGTGTAATTAGCCAGTACTTGTTGAGAATAATAAGTGAGATAAAAAGTGTGATGGGGTTATGGATTTAGTTTTATCAGATCATCGTGGCTTTGCAGTGGATTTAGTTCTATCTTAATCTACGTTGTGTAGTTTATAGCAAATAAATAAATAACTGACACTTATATGTCAGTTGGCTTGTACAACTTTTAGCAAGACTACATCTCTATTTTTACTTAATTTTTTTTTTCAAAATTCAGATGCACAAGTTGTAACACCCGTCTCCCTAAATAATGAAATATTAACAAAAAAACCTATTCCGTAAGGTTTTTAACGGAAATTGATATTTAATTTGTTATTTTGGGAGTATTTTCGTAACATTATGACTTAAAATATAATTAAAAAATAAAATTAATTTAAATTTGATCTTTAAACTATGAAATATCCATTATTAATTGAAAATAAGTTAAACATTTATGAATTTTTTTTGGGAGAATAAAAAAATTTATGAAGTTTTTTCTTTTTTGGATATTCTTTTACTGTAAAAAACCAAATGAAAAATAAGAAACATTTTTTTTTTCAAAGAAAAACGGAATTATTATTGTGAGATTTCTTAATGGAGGGAGTGATTTTGTTAACATTTCATTATTTAAGAGGACATATGTTATGTTTTAAAGATCGACAAACAAAGTGTTACAAGAGATATAATTCAGGAAGAATTTTTGTAATTAATCCTTACTTTTAATAGAGCTGGTATTCTCATTCGACCAAAACAAATATTACAACCGTAGATCTGCTAGAAATTGAAAAAATTCATATATATATATAGATATATATAATGTCAGTCTGTTATAAGATACAAACGACTAAATCATTAGTTCGCCTAAAGAACATGGAGGATTTAGGTTGAAGCTAAGACTCAGACACCTTACTTAGTTGACTGCAAGAAAGTAGTGGGAGAAAATTGCAAGCTCTATTATGAAGAATTTCTCTTCCCTGCCCATAAACTTTTAACAAAAAGTTGGTAGTACTCTGGCCATTTCATGTTTGATGCTTTGTTGTTTGCGGCCTTTTCTTTCTGCTTAGTTGGTGCCTAATTGTTTGCCACATCTTTGATGAAATCTCTATTCAGCGGAAAACTTGAAAAAGTTTGAGGTCTTATTATCATATTTACGCCCATAATTATGTCAGATTTGGTCACTTTCAATCTTTATAAAAAAAAAATTTATAGATGATTGTGTTAGCACAAGGAGATGATTGAATCAGTGGCGGTTGATGTTGAGCATGTAATAAAATAAGTGAATGTTGTCTAATGCAAACTTGACATCTCATTCTATGGTTTTTTTTTTTTTTTTTTTTTTTTTCAAAGTTGAGCTCATGGCCGTTGGATTTAGTTTACTTTTGAGACAAAAAAAATGTCTCTTCATAAAAAAGTCATTACTTTAAACTGTTCCACCTTTAAGAGCTTGTTTGATAGGAGAGAAAAGTGAAAGTAGGAAGAGGGGTGAGGAGCGAGGGGTTAGTGGAAAGATTTGGTAAACATAATTATTTGGTAGGATTAAAAATAAGGGAATAGATTGGATAATGATTTCAAATCGTTCAAAGCATCCTATTTTAATCTCTACCAACCCAAAGAGGCTCTAGGGCGAAATCCACGCCAAACAAATAAGAGAAAAATCATCTCCTTCTTTTCTATTTTCCTCACCTAAGTTATATGTCTCTCTTTTTATTTATATTTTCTTCCTCTCTTACCAAAGATAAAGCCTGTTGAGGAGAGATAGAGGGAGGGAGAGGGGTGGAAAGAGAGAGGTGGAAGGAGAGATACAATTTCTTGTTTGGTTGGAGGGAAGAGAGATGGGAGATCGGAGAAGGAGGGATGTCCTCTCCCTCCTAATCCATCAATTCATACAATCCACCAACTTTTACTTTCAATAGATTATTTTACCCTTTAAAAAATTTATTAGAAAATTACACAAACAGACAATGTAGTGATTAATTAAATAAATGTCATTCATCATTTTAACTCTCCATCATTCCTACGAAACAATACAAAAGATTATTATAATCTTCTCCATTTCTTATACTCCTTATCCCTCTAATTCTCTCCATCATTCCTACTCTCCATCTTTCTTACCAAACGAAGCCTCAAAACTGTTTTTGGCTTGTTAACTCAAAAAGTTACTTTTAGAAATGTTTGAATGATCTGTCAAAAATATTTCGACTTTTTAGAAGTGCTTCCAGTCAAAGCTACGAAGGCCTATTTGAGAGAGCTTTCTAAAAGCTGTTTTTGACTTCCTAGGTCCAAAAACTCCTTCTGAAAATGTTTGGATATCTGTCAGAAGTGCTTCGATTTTTTAAAAAAGCTTTCAATCAAAACCAAAAAATGAGGCTTCTAAAAAAAATACTTTTGAATAGATTTAAAAACCTGTACCAAAATTTAATCTTATAAACCTCATTCATTGCTTTATTCCAGATTTTTGCTTGACGTGAATCACGTATTCCTCATTTCCACAACTTACGGAAATTTTCATAATTTGGATTGCTTGTGATGTTCCCATGAGAATTGTTTTATAGTTAAAATAACTAAAAAAAACACAATATTCCATTCTAACATGGCGGAGGCTTTTTTTTTTTTTTTTTTTGTTAAGGTCTGAAAGCGAAAAAATAAACATAAAAGCAGTCCGATTACAAAATTTAAAATTTGTCATAGAAGACCTATAGATTGACTTGGGAAAGAAAGCTACCTCCTTATGTACCCAAAAGAGATGACATATAGAATAAACTTTCTCAAAGTCAGTAGATATATAGTTTTATAATTTGTTAGATATATTATTAAATCACATAATTTGAGCCCCCAATATTGATTGAAAACTAAATTAAGGAGACGTTTAGTAGGAGAATTCATACTATGATTTGAATCATGGTTCATGGTTCGTTACATTGTTTTTTCTCATAAAAAATACACATAAATAAAAAATAATTATAATCTTATAGTTCTAATCCATGAGCCAAACGTCTCCTAAAAGATAATGAACAACGTTACCCATTACTCCATTGTGCTTTGACAATACTTTAACGGTCTATATAATGAGAGTAAGGAGAGAAGTTTAACCACCAAAATAAAAAATAAAAAAACCTCTAAAGATGAAGGCATATCTTGTTCTATGCATTCTCTTGGCCTCCGTTCTCTTCTTTCCCTCCTCACTTTTAGCTCGAGAATTAGCTGGTGGTGGTCACAGAGCTACTTTCCATTTTCTTAATTTTGTTGTAACAAAAGTAATTTGTGCCAATATTATGGCTATGCAATATATGCTATAGAAGTGCTAAAAGAAAGAGCGACTGAAAGAAAAAACAAAACCAAAAAAAAAAACAAAAACCAAAAAACCAGTTTTTCATTTTGGTAACTTCCATAAGCCACTGCAAAATGAATATATTCAACTCCTAGTAATTTTAGTCTTACTCGGATTTTATAAAGTCAAAAGGAAGTAGATCTTCTCAAGATTAACTTTAATATTCTTTCCAAAAAACAAAATTAGTGTCACCAGGCAAATCCATAACCTTTCTTCTGATTGAGTTTGTTGTTTAGCATATTTGTTTTGTTCTTTTCCTTATATAAGAGGAAAACTATGCTTAGTTATCTCTGTCTTTTCTACATTACCATATATCTTGTTGCTCAAATTTGGGTACTCTCTCAATTTCGCAGGCAAAGTGACACCGGTAACAAGAGACCCTAATGCAAAGCCATGCGGTCCCGGTGGCAAGGGCAAGCCATATAATTGCAACCAGCCGAAACGTCCGCCAAAATCTGGTCCTTCGTGTAACAAGTTCGAGCGCGGAGGTTGCGCACCTATTTCGAGCCCTTGAATTAGAGACCAAGAATATGGTGTGAAATCAAGTCAGCCTATGTGACTACTATCAGCTACTGTAGTAGTATGTGCGTCTGCTTAATTAGCAGTGTTATATTGTAAGCCAGTACTTGTTAACGAATAATAAAGGTGACAAAATGTGTGGTAAGACTTGTCATCAAGGCTCCGCAGAGTGCCGCAGAGTGTTGTAATCTATGTTCTCTTGTGAAATGAAAAGAAATGGCTGATTTGATTTAATTTTTCTGCTGGTTTGTACATCTTTTGGTCAGATTACACATGCCCATTTTTAGTTTAAAAATCCTTTTCAGCATTTTGATACATAACTTGTATCGCCCCGTGAGTCCTATACCTGATTAGAGAAGATTATAGGTATGTCTCAGAATTTTTTTTTTTTTTTAACACCCTAACTAGCACTTAATTGGGTGACCATATTAAAAATAAAAAAGGTTATTAATATGGGGTTGATTGGTGATGTGTTACATAAACCTTTCACAAGTAAAAAATATATGTAGACCATTCTGAAAGATCTATGTAAAACGCAACTGTTGCGACAGTTGTTGTATCAGATTGTTGTAACAGTACCCGAACCACAAGCTAGGGGAAAACTTCATAAGATAGAACAAACTCAACTATATTGTAGCAGTACAACTCATCAGATAAACAACGTTGACAGAAATCCTACTGACCCCTGTATAAATGAAACTCAAGTTCTTTTGAAGGAAAGCGTTGATGATAATCAGATGTTACTTCATTCAGAAACTTTGAATAGATTTGAATTCTTATTGACAAACGCCCATAATTTTGTCAGATTTGGTAACTTTCAATATTGATCAAAAGTTAACAGATGATTGTTGTGTTTGCACAAGAAAATGGTAGAATTAGTGCCGGTTGATGTTGAGCATGTAATCAAATTGGTGAATGCCGTATAGCCATGACATCTCGTTCTTTTGTTTTTATCAACTTAAGCCTATAATAAGGTCATTGAATTTGATTTACTTCCGAATTAAAAAAAAAAAAAAAACATTCTTCTTAAATAAGTCAATAGTTTAAACTATTTGGTAAGAGGGATGAGTGGAAGGAGGGAGAAGGGGTGAGGAGTGATGCGATTAGTGGAAGGATTTTGGTAGGCATGCATGGTTGTTTGATAGCTAGGAGCATAGAGAGGAGAGAATGGCTTGGGTGAATGATTTCAAATCCTTCAAATATCCGATTTTAATCTCTACAATCATGAACAGATTAGAGGAAGAAATCTATACCAAATAAATACGAGAAAAGACATCACTTATATTTCTATATTTCACAACTAGGTTGTATGCCATTTTCCTTTCCTACCAAACATATGTAGCCTAAGACTTTTCTTCACCAGGGGTCTTCCAATTTTCATATTATTTGTCTTCTCCGTTTCTATGAGTGAGTCAAACATCAGTGGGAAGGAAAGGGTAGAAAGGAAAAAAGAAAAAACATTAGTAAAATTGATCCTTGCCTCACACTAACAAAATTGACAAAATTAAGGTAGGTATAACAAAACTAGTCTTCCTTAGTCAACATATAATAGAATGGGAAGCTTCCTATGCGTCATATATGTATTAGTTACTTTTCTTCCCCTGCTTTTTTCTTTGAAAATTTATCGGTGTTCCCTCTTTTTTAGAAGCATCAGTGTTCTCTACTTATCAGCCGTCAGATTTATATTATTTTTTAATAGGATTTGACTTTTAACCATATTTAATACAGATCCGAATGGCTGATAAATAAAGAATACCGATATTCTAAAAAAGAAAGAGCACTAGAAAAAGTAAATTTTTCTTTTTCTTTTTTGGTTTTATCCATGTTATGTCCTTTTTCTAGAACTAGAAAGTAACTAGGAGCAAACATGGCATAAACAATATAGTTCTCTGTTATTACGTAGCTAACTTTTCAAGCAAGGAAGATAATTGGTCTTCAGCTTCTCTTGCAAACAATGCAGTTATTGTGGAAACTTTAGTATAATGCAGCCTAAATGTCTAGCTGTAAAGGATAGAAAGAAACGATTTTGATATACTTTTCTTTAATAAGAAAATTTCATTCTGGTACCCTTTGTTATATTAAAATTTGAGTTTGATACCCTCTATTTTTAAAAATTTCATGTTGGTATCTCGACCTTCTAGAAAATTTTTTTTTAGTACTTCAAAGCCATTTTTAGACATGAAAAGACAAAATTACCCTTATTGTAAAAATTCATCTATTGACTAAAATTTTGAAGGAAAAAAAGGATTTTAAAACTGGATTTTGAAGAGATGGATTTTTAAAAAAGGATTATGCTCTACAGGTATAAAAATGTTTAAAATCCTTTTCTTTTCTTCAAAATTCTAGTTAACAAATGAATTTTTATAATAAGGGTAATTTTGTCATTTCGTGTCTCAAAATGGCTCCAAGGTACTAAAAAAAGATTTTTTAAAAGGTTGAGGTACCGGCATAAAATTTTCAAAAACAGAAGGTACTAAACTCAAATTTTGATATAATAGAGGATACCAAAATGAAAATTTTCCTACTTTAATCGTTTCTTTTCATGATCAAACGGTTGAATTTGGAATGCATAATATTTGGATATACCATAGCTTAGCTTTTTCCCAAAATTGTAAAGATGATAGAAAAATTACAACAAAACTACAATATGACTAATTATTTTCTGGTCATATATTGTCACTAAAATTATCCCTTTCATTTTTACTTTTCTACTTTTTGTCGCTTTCTTTCTGCTTCATGTTTTCCCCTCCACATGGAAATTTTCATAAGGACTGCTATTGTAATTCCCTTGAAAATTGCTAATTTATAGTTGCATAAAGATTTTCTTTAAGTCGATCACATATTCCATTCTAGAGGAAGGTGGAGGTAAAATGTCTGAAAGCGAAAAAATAAACATATATAAAAGTGGTAGGAATATTATAGATTGTAAAGTTTGCTATATAGAAGACGTATATATTGACTTTGGAAAGACCCGCATCCTGTTGTTTGAAATCGGCCTTCAACTAAAGCTACTTACGTATACCCAAAAGAGATTAATATGGATTTAACATTCACGAAGTCATTAGATATATAATATTATTAAATTACGTAACTTGAGCCTCCATTATTGATTGCAAACCGAATTAAAAAAATAAATAAATGTTGTCACCACCCATTGTCCATTACATTATAGTTTAATGGTCTATATAAATGAGAGCAATGAGGAGAAGTCTTTACCACACACAAACAAAATTGCAAAGATGAAGGCATATTTTATTCTATGCATTGTCTTGGCTTCCATTCTCTTCTTTCCCTCTTCACTTCTAGCTCGTGAATTAGCTGCTGGTCATCAGGGTTCAGGTATCACTACAGAGACGTTTTTTCATTTTGATTTTCATATAGCACCGCTAAAGGAATATGGATATTGTTAGAGATAATTAGGATTTAAATTAAGTTTCGAATTTCAGTTCACTAGGATTTAAATTCAACTGCTATGTTTATCTTCTTAGGATGTTGTTTTGTTTCGGGTTTTAAAGTATTTAAATTACGATAAGATTTGTAAACTGATCTATTTATACTCTTCATCATCAATGGAAAAAGGCATGCCATATTTTTCCAATCTTATTTTCTCTATAGATGTAACTCCTAGTAAATTTAGTATTGGCTTTTTGAAAGTCAATATAAGTATGTAGAGATCTTCTCATGATTAACGTTACTTATATTTAATTAAATATCCGATATTCTTTCCATAAAAACAAGAGTATTATCAAGCAAGTACTCCTCATCTTTCTTCTAATTGAGTTTGTTGTTCTGCAGGTTAATTGCTTTTGTGGTTTTCCCGAGCAAAACTATGCTTAATTAGTTATATATATCTTCGTCGTTTTTTACATTAGCATATATTATATCTGTCCCTCTAATTTGGTTACCATCAACAGGAAACGCTAATAACCCAACAATTCCATGTAAGGGTGGCAAGGGTAACGCATACTGCAACAACCCGAAACCGAAACCGAAGTGTAACAAGTATGAGCGCCGTGGCTGTCCTCATAATTCAAGCCCTTGAATTAGAGTCAGAGACCAACAATATGGTGTGAAATCAAGTCACTCTATGTGACTAGTGTCAGCTACTACAATAGTATGTATGTGTGTCTGCTTAATTAGTAGTATCATATTGTAAGCCAGTGTGTGTATGTTAAGAATAATTAAGGTGACAAAAATGTGTGGTGCAAAAGATTATGGGGTTAAGGTTTGTCATCAGGGCTTGTTTGCCCTGTGTTTGTAATATATGTTTGGAAGTGAGAATAAGTAGCTGACTTGCTTTAATTTGTCTGTTGGTTTGTACATCTTTTTTTTTTGCCCAGATTACCCTTGTCCATTTTTAAGCTCCACCATTTAACAAGTGGAAATCAAGTTCTTTTATCGTTTTCTTCCTACAGCACAATACTGTAAATATATATATGTGTGTATAAATTTATATATACACATATATATATATATATATATATATTGACGTATGCAATTAAGGTAGCCTTTATTGTGTTTACAAGCACAGCCTAACTATATATTGCGAAACCTAGAACAAAACTGAAACAGAGACAAAAAATAAGAATATGCAGTAATAACTACCTAGACGAAGCTTGAAATTTCTGCACTTTATAAGGCTAGAATCCCAAGTGCTGCAACTTCGGGCGGCGGGCATGCCCGGTGCCCGAAAATTTTCAGGCACGGCGGGCAGGTGCCTCTCGCCGCCCGACCACGGTATTTTTCGCGCACAGGCTCGGGCAGCCCGAAAATATTCATTCCCCATACTGCCCGCCGCTGTGGAGAAGTCGTCCCCCGCCGTTCGCCGGATTTTTTTTGAATTTTCCAGCATTACCCGAAGTTGCCAGAATTTTGCCCGTTGCCTGACTTTTTTTTACTGTTGTCCGAAAAATGCCCAAATTTTTTTGGCCGTTAGCCCGAAAAATGCCCGAATTTTGAACCAAACGGATCTTTTTTGACCGAACCCAACCCGAACCCAAATATTCCTATAAATACCCCCCTCCCCCCAACCATTTTCCTCACCAAAAACTCTCATTCTCTCTCAATTTCTCTTAATCTCTCTTAATCTCTCTCAAATCTCTCTTAATCTCGCTTAAATCTCTCTCAATCTTTCTTAATTTCTCTCAAAGCGCTCTCAATCTCTCTTATTTTTCATAATGGCTTCTTCTGGTTATGGTGGTGGCATTCCCATTGATGCCCAATTCAACATCGAAGAAGGACAATTTCCTAATGTTTTTCAAACGCAGGAATCGCAAACTATGGAAAGAGTTGCTGATGAAACTGCAATTCCGACCCCTGGTGGACGTACTAGAGGTCAGGGACGTAATGGTGGTGGCACTAGTGGCCGTGGAGGAGAGGCAAGCGGTAGTGCTAGTGCAAGTGTTGCAAGTTCTAAGAAGAAATGCAAGCGCACCGCAGCAGTTTGGGAGCACTTCAACACATTCGAGGAGGTCAACAATAACGGTAACATTAAATACATAGCTCATCGTTTGACCGCCAAACCGGCAGTCTAAGCACGTGGAAATACGATCCGCAAGTTGATCGTATGGAAATGGCACGATAAATAGCCACATTAGATCAACCACTAAGTTTTACTGAACAAATAAATTGGCAGCGTTATATTAAAATTGTACATAATCCTAATGCTGAATTTTTTCTAGAACTACTCTTTGAAAAGATGCATTTAAATTATATAAACAAGAAAAGGAAGCATTAATCAACCTTCTACACTTTACTAGCGGTTGCGTTGCGTTAACGGCGGATATTTGGTCCGTCGTTGCCAACAAGGATTATTTAGCTGTAACCGGACATTATTATAAAGGTTTTGATTTGGATAAGAGAATCTTAGGTTTCAAATGTGTTATAGGATCACATACTACCAATTTAATATATAACACAATTTTATCTGTTATTGATGAATATAGTTTAAGAGATAGAATAATGGCCATAACATTAGATAATGCAACTGCAAATACTAAAGTAATAGAACTTTTTGAAAATAATTTAAGTTTATTCCGTAATAATGATATATTTCACCAACGTTGTGCATGTCATATAATTAATTTAATAGTAAAGTCCGGTTTAAAATCAATGTCAGGTCATATTAAAAGAATTAAAGATAACATTGCTTGGATTCAAGGTAGTAATCAAAGAATACAAGATTGGTTTAGATTTCTACAAGCATGTAATCAAAATCCTAGAGCATTAGCCTTAGATATGCCCATAAAATGGAACTCCACTTACATAATGCTTGAACAATGCATCCCCTATAAAGATGCTATAACAACTTATGTTAGTGTAAAATTAGGAGCAGGATTTATAGATGAAACTGATTGGTAAATTGTCGAACTCTTGTATAACTTTTTAGGTAGATTTCACGAAGTTACCTTAAAGCTTAGTAGAACTTATTACCCAACTTCACCATTAGCGTTAGGAGAACTTTTAAGAATGTTTATTTTATTTAGTGAATTTAAGACACGCAAGGTTTTAGGAGTTCCTATCGTCTCTATGGAAAAGAAGTTTTAAAAATATTGGTCTAAATTACCCATGTTGTATGGTTTCGGTGTTATTTTTGACCCTAGATTAAAATTAGAAGGTTTAGAAAGTGGATTAGATAACTGAGGTGAATTTTTAGCCATCGACACTACTGACCAATTTCCTATTATAAAGGAAAAAATATATTCTCTATATATCTCTTATGAAAGTAGGTTTAGAAACATACCTCGTGTTGAACAACCGCAACAATGAGACAACAATCCACATTCATTCTTGAATGTTTTTGGGTTGTCTAAGAAAAAGAAGAAGACGACGACGACGACTCAAGGTCAAGAAGAATCTGGGAGTGGATCTTCATCAAGAGGTGGCGGCGGATTCAACGAGTTAATGGCGTACCTGAGTGAGGGCTTAGTTATAGACAGTATTGAAATGTTTGATTTGGTTGAGTGGTGGAGGGCATGAGCATTAACTTGGCCAATCCTAACACGACTGGCAATGGATATTTTTTTTATCCCGGTCTCCACTGTTGCAGCTGAACAAGCATTCAGTATAATCGGCCGAATACTTAAAGAATGGAGAAATGCATTGCAACAGGATATTGTTGAAGCTTTGGTGTGCATCAAGGATTGGGACCATTCCGACCAACGTTTACACAATACAATCTCACTGGCAAACCATGAATGGATCGATGAATTTAATAGATTAACTTTTAATTTTCAAGACGATCCTTCTACTTCAAATTAAATTTTATTATTCTAATTTGTAAATATTTATTTACTTTGTAATTTCTAATTTGTATAGTGTTATTGTAATCTTATATAAACTTTGTAAGTTCGTCAAATTTTTAATTCGTCCCACAATGATTGCACTATTTTTTCCTTACCAAGTTTTTATCCCAAATGGGTTTTTCTTGGTAAGGTTTTTAACGAGACAATCATGAATTACAAATTTAAAAATCAATGAAGAAATAATTTTTTTTTATATAGTTTGTGTGTTCATTTCAAATTTCAAATTGTAATATACACATTATAATTATACAAATACAATATCAAAATATAATATAAAAAAATTTGAAAATTTGGGCAACCGGTCGGGCATCGGGCAGCCCGACCGGGCACGGGCAGGCACCCCCTGCCCGAAGCCCGTCCATAGCAATTTTAGGGTCGGGTCGAGCAGCCCAAATTTTCGGGTTTGGTACTCGGACAAAAATTTAGACTTTTCGGTGGTCACGGGCGGCCCGTCTAAAATTTCAGCACTAATCCCAACTTTAATAAAAAAAAAAGTAAACAAAAAGGAAAACAAGTACTGCTAAGAATCCCAACTTTAATAGCTACGTTGCAAATTTGCAATGGCTTAAAAACCCGTTTCATCTAGAATATATATAATATTGGAAAATACGTTAATTTTAATTTTAATTTTTTTGTATGATCAATTCATGAGCTGTCATTTTTGTTAGTAAATGCTTATTAAAAGATTATTACATAAATTAATGGTACAAGATTGCATTGACCAATTAAGGATTGACAAATTATAAATCGGTATAAAAGTTGATTTTAGAGTTGATACTATTTCTAGTATTACTTGTTCACTTATAAAAATGTGACAAATACAGCTAAGAGTAAAAGTTAGAATTCCTAAAGACGTCCTTGTGCATACGGATATTTTAATCCTAGCAAGTTATCTGCTATTACATAGCTAACTCTACAAACTATATAGGAAGAGAATCGGAATTAATTTTTGTTTTAAGGAAAAAAAAAAACAACAAAAGCTACGACGAAAATGGAATTTTTCATCATTCAAAGTCATCATTGTCTCCTTGTATTACCCCACCAATACATTAAAAGTTTTGTCAAGATGGAAAAAATTAAAGATAATATCCTCCCTAGTGTTTTTTTTTTTTTTTTTTTAAAGAATAATCTCCCTAGTTTTATTGTTACTTTTTCTCCTCTCTCCTAGTTGCCATCCCTTTCTGATTCACGTGATTCACGTATTCCTGAACTCCAGACACGACCTTATGGGTATACACAAGTTATCTGCTATTACATAGCTAACTCTACAAAATATATAGGAAGAGAATCGGGATTAATTTTTGTTTTAAGGGGAAAAAAAAAACTACGATGAAAATGGAGTTCACTACTTTTACATAAGCTAACTTTAGCAAGATAATTGGTCTTCAGCGTCACTTTCATCATGATAGTTGTCTCCCAGTCTTAATTATCTCATTCTCACCAGGACTCAATTTTTTGCGAAGAATATATTTCCTGTGAAAGTTTTTGTATAATGCAATCTAAATGTCAACCATTAGATGATAGAAAGAAACGATCTCCGTTGTTCTCAAATCCTTTCTTTTCATGATCCTCAAGGCTATATATAGTTGAAATTGGAATGCATAATAACTGTAGCTTCTTTCCAAAATATTATAAAGATAGTAGAAAAGTTACGACAAATATACGATATGACTAATCAGTGGTATATCCATTTTCTTCTTGTCGTCGCTTTCTTCTGCTTCACATGAATATTCACGTATTTCTTGAATTTCACACCTTATGAAAATTTCCATTTGGACTGCTTGTAATTTTCCCTTGAAAATTGTTTTATATTTGCATAAAAAAACTTCTCTACATCCACCATATTCCATTCTAGAGGAAGGTGGAGATAAAATTTCTGCAAGCAAAACAAATAAATAAATAAATAATAAACATAAAATCAGCAAGGGTTATAAATTATGCAAGTTTGCTATATAGAAGACGTATATATATAATGACTTGGGAAAGACCCGTATCCTGTACCCA